AAATGCATTACGTTGGTTTTGTCATGACGCGGCTCATATATTTTTACTGTGACGATTGAGAGAGTCTTCGAAAGAGATGATTTCATACATATTTCTTGTGTACGGACATAATCCCCTTCGGACAAAATCCCCTTTTGGTGTACGGACATAATCCCCTTTGGACAAAATCCCCTTTTAAAGCTGCATGCCTCCAGATGAGCCTAAATATTCAATAAAATCAAACTTGAGAAAAATGGACTATGATTTTAAGGAAAAGTAAAAAGATTAAACATTTTAATAATAGGATATACACATATGTACCATCTGACCAGACTCATCACAGTTATAATGATCCAACTTTTTATGCGAGTGCACAACTATAAATATTTTTTAAATTGACACTTTTTATATAAACATGATAATATTGTGATACAAAAGCAAAATATAGAAGTAAACACAAGAAACACTTACATCTGAAAGATGTACAAAATTTAATGTACAATTTGCTTTGCTAAAATTAAGATTGTATGATATGCAATGTAGTATTATTGTGGTAAACTACCACAACTCTCCCAATAACCTCAACTCTTCCTGTAACATCAACTCAATTCTTCCCTTTACCTCAACTGAACTCTCCCGGAAACCTCAACTCAACCTAACTCTCCCCGTAAACTCATTCCAATTCTCCCCTTTACCTCAACTCAACTCTCCCAATAACGTCAACTCAACTCTCCACTTTACCTCAACTCAACTAAACTCTCCCCTTTACCTCAACTCAACTCTCCTGGTAACCTCAACTCAACTTAACCCTCCCCTTCACCTCAACTCAACTCTCCTCTTTACCTCAAATCAATTCTACCTGTAATCACAACTCGATCAACTCTCCCCGTATCATCATCTCAACTCACCCCTTTACCTCAACTCGACTCTCCCCTTTACCTCAACTCAACTCTCCCGGTAACCTCATCTCAACTTAACTCTCACCATAATCTCAACTAAATTCTCCCCTTTACCTCAACTCAACACTCCTGGTAACCTCAACTCAACTTCACTCTCCCCTTGACCTCAACTAAACTCTCCCCTAAACCTCAACTCAACTCAACTCTCCCCTTCACCTCAACTAAACTCTCCTGGTAACCTCAACTCAACTGAACTCACCTGGTTACCTCATTTACTAAACTCTCCCCTGATGACATCAAATCAACTCAACTCCTTACTCTGCCCTTTACCACAACTCAACTCTCACCTTTACTTCAATTCAACTCAATTCTTCCCTTTACCTCAACTCAACTCTCCCAGTAACCTCAACACAACTTAACTTTCCCCTTTACCTCAATCAACTCTGACCTGTTAAGCTCAACTCAACTCTCTTGGTTACCTAAATTCAACTCTTCCCATAACGTCAACTCAACACTCCCTGTAGCCTCAACTCAACTCTCCCGGTTACATCAACTCAACTCAACGTCAACTCAACTCTCCACATCACCTAAACTCAACACTCCCGGTAATCATCAACTCAACTCTCCCCTTTACTTCAACTCAACCAGGTACGTATATTACGTATGATTACTTGAATTAACCTATAGCTCTTCAGCGCTTCTTATGTAAAATTCTTCCAAGTATAATTTCCAATAACCGTAAATTATACCATACCCAGACTATGGTATAATTTTCAGTTTTGAAGATCGAAGGAGTAAGTGTTTCTGGGCGGAGCTATAGGTTAAAACAGATACACCATTGGTGCGTTGACGATTTCTGGGTTTGCGTAAATTATACCATAATCACGTGACCTTTCTTATGCGACTTCGTCTCGTGAGGTTAAGGCATAAGAAAGGTCACGTGATTATGGTATAATTTACGCAAACCCGGAAATCGTCAACACAGCAATGGTATATCTATTACATATACAAATGTCGGTGCATGATTAAGTCAAATACACAAGTGACACGTGGATACTTGAATTAGTTGATTGGTTTTTATAGTAGAAAGGTTTTTTAGTTACTAAATGGATGAAATATAAATAAAACTAAAAGAATTAATGAATTAAAAAAATGATATAATTTAATGATATACATGGCAGAAGCCGGATTTTTAAAAAAAAATCTATAACAGTTTTCTATTCTCCCCTTTTATACATTTATTCCTTCAGCGTGTTCCTTCTATATCTATATCGCCCGCTTTTTCACTATACGTCTATATTGTCCGCGTATTCTGTAGCCACTTTATTAGATATACAAGGGTGAGGTGTATGATTATTTGAAATATACAAGTGTCGGTATGTGATTAAGTAAAATACACAAATGACACGTGGATACTTGCATTAGTTGATTGGTATTTATAGTAGAAAGGTTTTTAGTTACTAAATGGATAAAATATAAATAAAACTAAAAAAAATAAAAATAAAAACATTGATATAATTTAATTATATACATGGCAGAAGCCGGATTTTTAAAAAATTTATAACAGTTTTCTATTCTCCCCTTTTATACATTTATTTCGTCAGCGTTTTCCTTCTATATCTAAATCGCCCCCTTTTTCACTATAGGTCTATATTGTCCGCGTTTTCTGTATATATATAGCCACTTTTATTAAATATACAAGGGTGATCTTAAACTTGAATTAGTTGATTGGTATCTATATCGTCCGCTTTTTTCCTCTATGTCTATATTGTCAGCGTTTTCCGTACATATGTTTATATTGTCCGCAAATTGCGCTTGCAAAGTGTGTTGTTCGTGCCCTTATAGTTATTCAATTTTCCATGCATACGTGACTGTTGCATACTTTGTACTGTTTAATTAAAAATTGTTAAGTCAATTAACATGTACAAATAAATAAATAAATAAATCATATTGTTTTTAATACGCCTTTTCTTATCAACAATGATTACGTCAATTAAACTGAACAAATAGATAATTGAAAGGTTTCTTTTAAAAATCGGATTTTCTACATAACAATTATTATTTAAGAATTTGAACAAATAAATAAACTAAAGTCTTTTTTAATTATTAAAATAATTACACCTTACAGCTGTTATATACTTTACAAATGTCATTTCTCCGTGCGTTTTAACACAATACATTTAAAATCAATTACAACGCCCGCTCTTTTCCCGTTATTTAAAACATACATAAATAAATAAATTCAGGGCAAAAAAAAGATTATTGCACTTCGTAAATATATTTTATAATTTTGATTGCAAATTGACTCATTGTAATAAAATTTATGCATCATAAGATTTTCTTTTATATATTCAAGTATATATATACTGGGATGTACTATAACGGGATATGTCATTCGCGCTTTCAAGATTATCAGTGCCAATGTTGGTGTCCAATTGGAATAAGCGCCGTGTTTAAACGCCGTAATCACGGTACATGCCGGGTTGATCGGATATATTCCGTGCATAAATTTTCCGGTGATTTTGGGAGGTGGGCAATCAAAATAGTAGGAAATAAAGTTTCCTTTTAAAAGGAAAGGCTTGCACAGTTGTGCCTTCATCCCAACCCTTTAAAATTGTGTGTTTTTTTGGTCTCAATTTATTATCACATTTTTTTTTGAATTACGGTATTTGTATATCATAAAGGGTTTATTTAGTTGGATTTTTTTTTTGGAAAACCGAATATTTTTTGTCAAAACGATTTGAAATCTATTCTCTATCGTATAAAACTAATAAAGAAAATGATCAATCATAAAAATACTAACGTGATACTGAAGGAAAACAAGTGTGCACATTTCATTTCCCCTTTTTCGCAGCGAAATCATTCCTTTGCTTTATAGACAAGTAAATGCACTAAAATACTTCGTTACGTGGTACCAATTAATAAGCATACATGTATCAAATATGTTACACGATCACAAATAGACGATATCAGCACCAAACTCTTCACAGCTGTTACGTCACGCTTTGCTACTTTAACTGTACAGATCAGGGGAAGTAACCGCTGCGAGGAGTGGGAAGGTTAATGATATGCATGGGCTATTTTTAGATTACTTCACCATTACGGTTTAAACCGATAAATCAAGTAAAAATAGAAATCCTATTTATATAAACAAACTGGGATTACCGAAGTAACTAAAATAGCTTAGATTTCCGTAATATTACTTCGTCTGATTCCGCAGTATGACGGAATCGCCCGAATTGTCACGATTGCAATCGGAACTACATCGGCTATTATCATTAATCCGAAGAGTGACGGAAAAGGCCGAAAAGTTGCGATTGGCACGATTGGAGCTGGTTTCCCGTTCAATCATGCACCAACAGATGTAAGCAGGAAACCACCTAACCGGAACAAGTTTTCCATATGAAATGGCTTGCAGCCGGCTGCAAGCCAAAAAAGGTTGTTGGTTTCTTAAATACTTTTTTCATTGGATCAATTTTAAAAATATTAATATTAATAAATATGAAACAGATACAGTAAAGTAATTGACCATATTTAATTATGATAGAAAATTTACGTTTTGTAATTAAAATACGTTCAGAAATAACTTAATCATTAAATTTCAATTATAGCTTTAATTACATGGTTTATATTAATTATAGAATATAATTATGTCAAATGTGTCAATAAACATAGAAATTATTTTGTATTGGGACTTATTATTTATGTAATTAAAGTGTACAGCTGCTATAAACATGTTTATAACATGTAATATTTTTTGGTTTAATAAAATGTCTGACCTTTGTTTTATTCATGTTTGTTTTCAACATGGCCTTTGATAATCTTTGATGTTTAAACATATTTTTCACATATATTTGTAATTATGTTCTTATTTAGCTTTAATCTATCGTATGTTCCAGATCTAGAATATATACAATACTATTGCTTCTAACTAATGCCTTTCATATATTACATTATAAAAGCCAGTTATTCGCCTTTAATATCAATTTAACTATGCTCAGTCATTTTACACTATATATCTATATCGTCCGCTTTTTTCCTCTTTGTCTCTATCGTCAGAGTTTTCCCTATATGTTTATATTGTCCGATTAAGATGTCCGCGTTTTAGACTGCGCCATGAATTTAATGCATTTCCGGTTTAAGCGTTAATTGTTGTTGTTGTCGCCGCAGAAATTAAGAAATATGGACAAAAGATCAGGAAACGTACCTGGCTTACCTCCAGGATGGTCAAGGGAAGAATGTGTAAGACAGTGTGGTTTGTCGGCTGGAAAAACAGATGTGTTCTATATAAGGTTTTACTTTTTCATGATAGATTTATGTTTTTGTTGCAATAAAATTTTGCAAAATTCTTTTTTTTGTTCTTTTCTTATCTCAACATCTCTCGTAGTCCAATAGATTAGACGTTACAGGCTTGTTATAGTTTTATGTTGGTCAAGCCTGACGTCTAATACGCTAATAGTTATTGCTCATAAACGCATAGCATTTTGAAAAATTAAAAAAATGTCTGTTGACTTGCCTTTCAAGCTTTATTCAAAAGCTTATCTTCTGTTCTTTCAATTGCATGGTATAACATTAACAAAAACTTTCAAATAATGTACTTATCAATTAAAAATAAAATAATATGAAAAAGGCAAAGCGAGCTCGATGCACTTTTTACGTGAAATAGTATGAAATAATCGCTCAATTTTATTTCAAATGCAGTAACGAGTGCGTGTGACGTCACACTTACTGTGTTAAATATGGCTCCGCCCCTGTCGTGAAATGAATAACGAGTTTTGAAAACGTTGATAAAACTTTGTTTATTTTGTTTCACTCTATAATTTTTCAAGCGAAATAAAGATTATCTAAAGTGAAATAAATGTAAAACTTAAAACGTTTGCGACATTAAAATAGCGTACTTGATTTGTTTGTTTTGCACGTGCTGTTTGGCGCTACATTGTGACGTCAAGTAAACAATACTTTAAACGTCTGTACAGCGTTAACGACTGAATAAAAGATATTGGTGTTCGGATTCATTTTCTTAATTAGACCATTTTCTTTCATTCTAGATAGTTTTCACAACAAAATTCGACAAAAAATTGTTCTTATTTATCAGATTTTTCAAACAAAATGGCGCCTTCAATTATTATTTTTTTTATACACAGCTTCCGTTATTCTGGTTCCCTGTCCAACTATGGTTCCCATAGACGTGCGCGGGTGACCAGTCTAGACATCTGTTTTCAGTCAGAATTCCTCAGTTTTTATCGTTATCTTTAAATTCGAAAGGTTGCGATGTGTCCAATTCGGTACTTTGGACGAAAGTTTTCAAAACCATCACTTAGCAGGTACTCGCGTTACCGTAAAGCTCGCTTTGCGAGCAGGCCCTTCGGGCCAGCTCGTCGAGCTCACTATAAATATCAGTCTATTTCGCTCATCGGCCATACTGGTTAAGTAAAGCGTTTTACATATTGATTCCAATTTTTTTGAACGGAAAAATATATTCGATCACACTGACAGTGCATGGGCAATTATTTTGTTGAAAAAATATTCCGTTAGAAACTTCTGGACTCATTTAAACGCTTGCATTTGAATTAGCCAATCAGATTTCTCGCACTGTATGGCGGCCATATAAATACCTTTAGACAAACTAATTAAACTGTCACATCCGAAAAATCATGATTGAATCCTCTCATGTATTTTAAATTCCTTTTACAACCGATAAACAAATGCTGGCCATACAGTGCGCGAAATCTGATTGGCTAATTCAAATGCAAGCGTTTAACTGAGTCTGTAAAAACGTCTAATATATTGGACAAGGTTTAACTATAAATTTAAATACCTTCAGTGTCAAACAATGTATTGAAATATAAACTGAAACAAAGCTAAGATCACAAGCTTTTTATTGGTGTAATTAATTTTAAAATCGGATATTAAATCGCCCCAAACTAGCGTTTCCGGCTAAATTTGCATTGATTTAGCATTAGAGATATCGATTTTACTAGAAGATAAAGGAAACAACTCGTGTTTTTTTTTCACTAGATATACCTCAGTTATTTACATAGTACTATAAAAGGGTGTATTGTTCCTTGTCATCAGTCATGTTATGTGTAACTCAAGCATAGATCTGTATTTCAAGAGTTATTTTTCCTTTAGTTTGAATTACTAAGAATTTGCTTGAGAAATGTCCGTTATTCTCTTATCATCAAAATTTCAGATTTTAGTTATAGCATTGAAATTTTTGTTGATATTTTCAGAATTTAATTGAAAAAGGTCAGGTCATGTGCATTTGATGTAGTGCAAAAAATCTGAACATATGAATGCTTTCATGGTATTGATATTAAAAAAAATGCATATAATATAACTGATTTTTGTGCCCCCACAATGGGTGGGGGGCATTTAGATTTACCCTTGTCTTTCATTCGTCTGTCCTTCCGTCCGTTCTCTTTTTGTGTCGCACATAACTTAAAAAGAATTTGACCTAGAGTCATGAAACCTTACAAGAATTTTACTCAGCATGTGTAGTTGTGCACTTGGGTATTTTCATGTGGATATTTTTAGTATTTTTAGAATTATTGCAATTTTCAACTTGTGTCGCATGTAACTCAAAAAATATTTGACCTAGTGTCATGAAACCTTACAGGAATGTTGATCAGCATTTGTAGTTGTTCACCTGGGTATTTTTTTGTGGATATAATTATTTAGTATTTTTAGAGTTATTGCCCTTGAATTAGTAAAATTTGGCAATTTGGCGTGTGAAGCTAGGGTTACAGATGCTGTCAGGGTGTACTTGGAAGCTCTTGCTGGTAAGTTATTTTTAGCTTGTCTTTTTCTTGAAAAAAAAATGTCAAGCTATTATGATGTGTCGTCAACAGATCATTGTCATCATCGTGCAAAAACTGTCATATGTTCAAACATTTGAAACTTGTTGCTATAGTTTTTTTTGTGCCCCCAAGTTAGTGGCGGGCATTTAGATTTACCCTTGTCCGTCCGTCCGTCCGTTCACTTTTGTGTCGCACGTAACTCAAAAAGTATTTGACCTAGAGTCATGAAACTTTACAGGAATGTTGATCAGCATGTGTAATTGTGCACCTGGGTATTTTCGTTAGGATATTTTTAGTATTTTCAGAGTTATTGCCCTTGACTTAGTTAAATTTTGCAATTTTCAACTTGTGTCGCATGTAACTCAAAAAGTATTTGACCTAGAGTCATGAAACTTTACAGGAATGTTGATCAGCATGTGTAGTTATGCACCTGGGTATTTTCGTCTGGATATTTTTAGTATTTTCAGAGTTATTGCCCTTGAGTTAGTAAAATTTGGCAATTTTCAACTTGTGTCGCACATAACTGAAAAAGTATTTGACCTAGAGTCATGAAACCTTACAGGAATGTTGCTCAGCATGTGTAGTTGTTCACCTAGGTAATTTTGTGTGGATATTTTTAGTATTAATAACCTATTTTTAGAGTTTTTGCCCTTGACTAAGTAAAAATTTACAATATTCAACTTGTGTTGCACATAAATCAAAAAGTATTTGACCTGTAGGACTGAAAGTTTACAAGAATGTTGGTCAGCATGTGTACTTATGCTTCTTGGGGTTTTCTTGTGGATTTATTCAGTATTTGTAGTATTTGCCCATTACTTAATAAAAGATTTTTAGTTTTCAACTTGGGCACATTTAGCCAAAAAAAATATTTGACCTAGAGACATTTCTAGTTTTCCATAGTTTTGTCATATCTGTTACCATTATAGTCTACCCTGAGAATAAAGACTACACATGTAACTTTGAAGCAATGAAATTGACGCACAAAACAACAATAAGTGGCAGCGTGGCTGAGTGGTTTACACGTCAGACTAGTAATCTAAGGATTACTGACCGTGTGGGTTCAAACCCAGTCAGGGGCAAGCCGTTGTTTCCTTGAGCAAGAAACTTTACATTCATTGCTTAGTACTGGTTGGTTCCAAATTGACAAATAGGTGGAGTGTGATGGCACCCGTGTTCTATGGACACAGTTCTAGTTTTCCATAGTTTTGTCTTTCTTTACTCAAGTATTGGATTACTTGAGCCTTCTGTCTTTTCTTGTTAGTTTTTATGGGCAGATGAACTTTAGCTTCACACAAGTATAAAAAAAACATGTTCAACTTTTCTGAGGGCAAACAAAAGTGCATGTAGGTTAAACAAGATTTTCTGAGTAAAGATAGATTTTAAAAATTCTGGGAGCCCTTAATCCCACACTAAGTAAGTGTTGTATATATCACAAAATTAGATTCACTAGATTTATAGATTTAGATGTTTGGTATGCAACTAAGTGGCAACTTGATCAAAAGATGTTTTCGTAATCACTTCTTACAAGTTACAGCCTTAATTTCCAAACAAATATTTCTTCATATGAAGGTAATATGCATGGATGTGGCATTTAAGGTTACTTGGAAGATGGTAAATCTAAAAAAATGAGTTGCTGTTCTTCTTCCATGAATTGATGAGCTTGAGATGAAAGAGATTGTATCATTGAGGTGACTGCTAAGAATAGCCATCATGACTCCCATGTCCTTCATGTTATACATGAATGTTTTGTTCTTAATTAAGGTATTTTTCCGATAATCACAATCAGTAGGTTGTTAGTTGCAAAACAACTGATACAATTTTATATCTTATCTTATATCCAATTAATTTCAGCCCAGATGGAGTTAAAATTAGAAGCAAGCCCCACTTATCTCGTTACCTTGGCGAGGCATTTGATCTAAGTTCATTTGACTTTAGGACAGGAAAAATCATCAGTAGTTCTCATAGAAAAAGTAAGCGCCACAAAGGATCATCATATGACTATGCCAGAGGTTTGTGTGTTGTGCTTTTTGTGCATTCGTTCTTCTTATTTATTACCAACTGAAGTATAGAAAATATGCCAAAATGAAGTGTCATTAATAAAAGTCAGATATACTTCATTGTTCATACTTCATACATTGTTCAAACACCCATATTTATTATATTTTGTGATTATATAAGATGATCATACCATAATATTTAAAGAAGTTTTCTCTTGAAAGTTACTTCTTTAGGTTGTCAATGATAGAAAGGTCTGTTTTATTACCTTAAAAAGATAAGCAGTTTCACTTGTATAATAGGGATGAATGTATCCTAGTAAGAAATACATGTCTTACTGTATGCAAATTGAATTGACTAATAAAAGAATAAAAAAAAATAGCACAATTTTTCTCTTACATTATAATGAAATCTGACTAGAATTGAATTTTGTCATGTTAAACTGAACATACATTTTGAAAACAAATTCTTCACATAAATCATAATGCCACATGTTCATTACAATTCTAGTTAAAAAATTAGTATGTCTGTCTGTGTGTTATGAGCTAATGATAAAGAGATAAGAGGCAGCATGATTAATTATTTGAGCCGTGTCATGACAAAACCAACATAATGGCTTTGCAACCAGCATGGATCCAGACCAGCCTGCGCATCCGCGCAGTCTGATCAGGATCCATGCTGTTCGCTGACAAACCCTATAACAGGTAGAGAAACTGATAGTGAACAGCATGGATCCTCAGATCAGACTGCTTGGATGCGCAGGCTGGTCTGGATCCATGCTGGTCGCAAACGCACTATGTTGGTTTTGCTTTGATAAGGCTCATTTCTTGTCCTTTTTATTTGAGGTAATTTTAGAAACATTTCTGCATGGTTCTTAACGTTTTGCATATCATTTGTCAGACATAAGAAACATTTTCTTTTCCCATTAGTATCATGTAGAATCTTATTAGAGTGCTTATTTTGAACATTTTATTGTTCTCTCAAAATTGACTTTTCCGTGTTCTGTGCTGTAGTTTGCATTTATTTGATAAAATTTTGCACTTTTGTTTTGACTTGCTGTGGTATGGTCAAAGTATAGTTGTTTAATAAGAAATTTATAACTATTGTAAATTTACAGAACATAGTAAATAAAAGTATATCACCTTAAGTCTTATAAAATAAATTGAAGTTCATGTGTCAGTCAATTCATAAGGTTCATATAACTTTATCTTATTTTAAATAGCAGGAATGAGAAGTTTTTTTTTTCAAGAACTTTAGAATATATGTGATTTCATATCTGTTACCATTACAGTGTAGCGAATAAAGACTACACATGTAGCTTTGAAGCAATGAAATTGAAAAAAAAAAAACAATAATTGGCGGCGTGGCTGAGTGGTTAAGGCTTCAGACTAGTAATCTTAGGATTGCTGACCGTGTGGGTTCAAACCCTGTCAAGGGGCAAGTCGTTGTTTCCTTGGGCAAGAAACTTTACATTTATTGCTTAGTACTGGTTGGTTCCATGAACGGATTTGAGAGTGTTTCAATAAGCTTATAGCTTCCAACACAGTCAAACTAAAAATAAATTTGTATAAACTAATAACTAACTTATTGTACTCTATAATTAATCAAGATGACAGGTTTCATAGTTTTCCTTGTGTGGTTGTTACTTGTATTGAATTGACTGTGTACAAAATAAATATAAATACAGGTAAAAATTCAAGTCAATGTTACTGCATAGCAATCAATGTGACAATCATGTATAATAATGTTATTACTGTAAATTCTAGGGATCAGACAGGACGCCAACCTTGCATTGCCAATTCGTCAGACAGCTTCAATATTTAAACAGCCTGTGACAGTGATCAGGAACCATCCCGACAGTGCAACTAAGTCAGATCTCAAACATGGCCCTCAAGAACCCCCACGACAGGTACAGGTTTTTATGATTTTCCACATACAGTAAACTCCGCTTATAATGAATTCATTGGGACATTCGAAATCTGTTCCTTATATCCGGAGTTCCTTGTAAGCATATAGTGCATAAGTTCCTTGTATCAGAAGTTTTTATAGCGAACAGTTTTACATATAACGAACTAATTGTTTACCATCGTCCTCCATTTTGAAGAGCATTTGATTAAGAGAAATAACTCTTGGGCCATATATGCAATATTGTTATTTATTAACAATACAGTATCATGCACAAAAATAATCACTTTGCTTTGAAGAAATCACTAATTTTAGTTTAGGAATGTTTACAACTCTTCAGGCTAATTTTAATTTAATCTGTGCCGATGAAAACGAAAGTAGAATATGCGTGATCTGTTAACGTATAGATGATATTTTGGAGTTCGTTATAAAAGTGTAATTTTCTGTACTTTTTATGGCATTGGGACTAAAAAATGAGTTCCTTATAAGCGATAATTCCTTATAACCGTGTTCGCTGTAACCGTAATTTTTTACATTAAATAAAGAAGGGCAAAATTTGGGCCAAAAAATTTTGTTCCTTATAACCGGAAGTTCGCTATAACCGTGTTCGCTATATTTGAAGTTTACTGTATATTTGTTGTATACAAGAATAATATTAAATAGATAAAGAATAGTTTGACCTTTACCTTCTAGAATCTTGTGTTTAAATGAATGCTTTGAACTTGAAACTGTTTAAATGTTGTCAGTTAGTACACATGTATTTAAATGATTTAAGTGTTAAAGTTTTAAATCTAAGCATCATACTTGGTTCAATACATTAGACATAGTCCTGTTATAAATGACTGGGCATTTTGTTACTTTGAACCACTATGGTCTGCAAGTTGTATTTTCAATTAATTGTTTGCTATTTATTTATTATTTAATTCAGTTCAAGTCTTCAACAATGACGAGTTTAATGCTGTTTATCTCTTTATAAGAATATGATTGGTGAGTTGGTGTATGCTTGGTGAGTGGGTGGTTGGTCTGGTCGGGTGGCATACATATTTTTAAAGTTGGTTAATTAGACCTTCAAGAATCTTTCTCTTTAAGCTTATTATTGGTTATGACTCATTTCATTCTTAAGTTGGGTTGTTGTTATTTTTTTCCAGTTATTTTGGGAGAAGAGACTTCAGGGCCTTCGAGCGTGTGACAGTACTGAAGAACTTATTCAAAGCTTAGAACTCCCTAAAACTGTTCTAGGTTAGTTAAATGTACACATTAATTAAATGGTTTGTTACAAATAGTAATTTTACATGGCGGCATGTGTTCAAACCCTGTCAAGGGCAAGCCATTGTTTGCTTGAGCAAGAAATTTTACATTCATTGCTTAGCAATGGTTGGTTCCAGAAACAGATTTGAGAGTGTTTCAATAAGCTTATAGCTTTGACATCCAACTAAAATAAATTTGTAGAAACATTTAAGCCCTTATTTTGAAAGATTTTAGAATTAATTTTGTTATTCAATATTTTTATATTGTAACTTTAAATTGGGAATTTTTTCTGTGGATTGGGAAAATAACATACTGTTTTCAGTTGGGAATATGACTGAATATAGGCAATAAAATAAGCCAAAAAAATCCCTGAAATGTTGTGTATAGAACTATTTGCTGAACTAACCCATGACATCTAATCAGTAATCAAAACATCTTAAGTACAGTAGATACTTTCTGTCCAGATTATTGTTTTGACTGTGCACATTAGAGAGTCACAGTTTTGCTCTTTTCGGGAAAATGGTTTTTAGTTCTACATGTAATTGAGAATTATATTTTGCTATATTTGTTTTGACTGTTGTTTCAGGGATAGGACCAGAGTTGACAACAGAGAATATACTACAGAGTATATCAGCAGCACTTCATCTTGGAGCTGTCCCTATCATAGGTCAGCATAGTAACAAGAATCTGGTACAGAAAAATCCAGGTGTTCACATGGATGTTAACCAACCACATATTCAGGTAACTAGAGGCTGTCAGGCATTTGCTATATCAGAGATGAGATGTCTAGGAATGTTGTACCAGTTCTACAATAAATAATATCAATATGCTTGAATATTATCATTACGGCTAAAAAACATCTGTTTTTAGTACTTTAAATCTATTTTATAACATGTAATATATGCAATCCTAGCTTGTCATGTGGAAATATTCATGACCCACTCAGTGGTGGCATTGATTCAACATTTTGACAAGAACTTTAACACTAAGAAAGCTGTTACAATGTAGTTTAATATGTGGATACACCTGAGTTATGTTTGCCAAGCCCATTTTTGGGTCAAAAGGTTTAAGGTCAATGCAAATGTGACCTTTAGTTCAAAGTATCTTTTTATCTTGAAAATTTCCAGGATTTTAGTTAATCTTTGAATGTTAATGTCTACCTTTCATGAGATTACATGTACACATACTACAACCCAGATACTTATTTAACATCATGATAGCAGTATTAATGTTGTTTTAAAAACTTATATACATCTTTGAAGCTCTTCTATCTGTATTGATGATCATGTCTTCTTTTTGATTCAGCAACTTATTGTATCAGATGAGGATATAAAGAAACAAGAGTCTAAAGTGAATGAGGCTAGACGTAAACTACAAGAGGTGATGAAAACATGAAGGTATGGTTTCTTACATAAATTGTTCACAAATCTGTTGCAAGTTATCTCCCTGGAGTAGCCTGTATAGGATGGCATGATTATGACCTTAATAGCTGTTGTAATGAAGGCTGCCTTAATGTTATAATGCTAATAATGATAGCAATTGATAAAGAGAGTAAGATACATTTTGTAATAGTAATCCTACATTTTGTATCACAATTCAAATTAAAGGCCATTTACCTGCTATCTTGGAATGCTTTAAATGAACCCAAATCAAATTGAATCCTTGCTTTAATTAAATTTAATGACATGACCATTGTGACTAATCAAGTTCATTGGGAAACCATTTTTATTAGCTCACCTGTCACAAAGTGACAGGGTTAGCTTTAGTGATCGCTTTTCGTCCGGCGTCCGTCCGGCGTCCTTCCGTAAACTTTTACTTTAAATGACATCTCCTCATAAACCACTAAGCCAATTTCATCCAAACTTCACAGGAATGTTCCTTTGGTGGTCACCTTTAAAAATTGTTCAAAGAATTTAATTCCATGCAGAACTCTGGTTGCCATGGCAACCAAAAGAAAAAACTTTAAATATCTTCTTTTAAAAAATCTCAAAGAGCTAGAGCTTAGATATTTGGCATGAAACATCTTCTAATGGGTGTCTACCAAGTTTGTTCAAATAAAAGCCCTGGGGTCAAAATTGGCCCCGCCCCGGGGGGTCATTGATTTTCCCTATATGCATATAGTAAAAACTTAAAAAATCTTCTTTTAAAGAACCCAAAGAGCTAGAGCAAAGATATTTAGCATGAAACATGTTCTAATGGGTGTCTACAAAGTTTGTTCAAATAAAAGCCCTGGGGTCAAAATTGGCCCCGCCCCGGGGGTCATTGATTTTCCTTATATGTGTATAGCAAAATCTTAAAAAATCTTCTTTGAAAAAACCCGTATAGCTTGAGTTTAGATATTAAGCATGAAACATCATCTAGTGGGTGTCTACCTAGTTTGTTCAAATAAAAGCCCTGGGGTCAAAATTGGCCCCGCCCAAGGGGGTCATTGATTTTCCCTATATGCATATAGTAAAAACTTAAAAAATCTTCTTTTAAAGAACCTATAGAGCTAGAGCTAAGATATTTAGCATGAAACATCTTCTAATGGGTGTCTACCAAGTTTGTTCAAATAAAAGCCCTGGGGTCAAAATTGGCCCCGCCCCAGGGGGTCATGGATTTTCCCTATATGCATATAGTAAAAACTTAAAAAATCTTCTTTTAAAGAACCCAAAGAGCTAGAGCTAAGATATTTAGCATGAAGCATGTTCTAATGGGTGTCTACAAAGTTTGTTCAAATAAAAGCCCTAGGGTCAAAATTGGCCCCGCCCCGGGGGTCATTGATTTTCATTATATGTGTATAGCAAAAACTTAAAAAATCTTCTTTGAAAAAACCCGTATAGCTTGAGTTTAGATATAAAGCATGAAACATCTTGTAGAGAGTGTCTACAAAGTTTGTTCAAATAAAAGCCCTGGGGTCAAAATTGGCCCCGCCCCAGGGGGTCATTGATTTTCCCTATATGCATATAGTAAAAACTTAAAAAATCTTCTTTTAAAGAACCCAAAGAGCTAGAGCTAAGATATTTAGCATGAAACATGTTCTAATGGGTGTCTACAAAGTTTGTTCAAATAAAAGCTCTGGGGTCAAAATTGGCCCTGCCTCGGGGGTCATTGATTTTCCTTATATGTCTATAGCAAAAACTTAAAAAATCTTCTTTGAAAAAAACCCAAATAGCTAGAGTTTAGATATTAAACATGAAACATCTTCTAGTGAGTGTCTACAAAGTTTGTTCAAATAAAAGCCCTGGGGTCAAAATTGGCCCCGGCCCGGGGGTCATTGATTTTCCTTATATGTGTATGGCAAAAACTTAAAAATCTTCTTTGAAAAAACCCAATGAGCTAGAGTTTAGATATTAAGAATGAAACATCTTCTAGTAAGTGTCTACAAAGTTTGTTCAAATAAAAGCCCTGGGGTTAAAACTGGCCCCGCCCCAGAGGTGTCATTGTTTTTAACTATATGTGTATAGTAAAAACTTAAAAAATCTTCTTTTAAAAAAACCCAATGAGCTAGAAGTTAGATTTTAAAGATTTTAAGCAAGATATATCTTTTTGTTGGTGTCTACCAAGTTTGTCCAAATAAAAGCCCTTGGGTTTAAATTGGCCCTGCCAAAGGGGGGGGGAGGTCATTGTTTTTCATTATATGTGTGTAGTAAAAACTTAACATCATGAAACATCTTCTAATGGGTGTCTTCCAAGTTTGCTCAAATAAAAGCCCAGGGGTTTAAACTGGCCCGCTCCGGGGGGCCTATATACAGGTGAGCGACCTCAGGGCCATCATGGCCCTCTTGTTTATATACAGTATGATAATAAGAAAGAGTTGAGGCTTAAGCTTATGTATTTTTATGCTCTTGACAAATTTTATCAATCTTAATCATGAGAAGTTATTTTTATTATGTAGGATACAATTTTTGCAGTTATTCATCTTTTTTGTCTGGTCAGTAACTTTGTCATTTATGGATGGATTTTTAGCTCACCTGAGCTTGCTCAGGGTGAGCTTTTAGGATCGATGAATGTCCGTCGTCCGTCGTCCGTCGTCCGTCCGGCCGTCCACAATTGCTTGTGAACACTCTAGCGGTCGCATTTTTGCCTCAATCATCATCAAACTTGGTCAGGATGCTTATCTAGTTGAAAGCTCGGATGAGTTCGAACATGGGTCATCTCAGATGAAAAACTAGGTCACAAGAGCTAAAAATAGAAAAACCTTGTGAACACTCTAGAGGTCACATTTTTGACCCAATCTTCATCAAACTTGGTCAGGATGTTTGTCTAGGTGATAGCTCGGATGAGTTCGAACATGGGTCATCTCGGATGAAAAAGTAGGTCACAGGAGCTATAAATAGAAAAACCTTGTGAACACTCTAGTGGTCACATTTTTGAACCAATCATCATCAAACTTGGTCAGAATGCTTGTCTAGTCAATTGCTTGGATGAGTTCGAACATGGGTCATCTCTGATGAAAAACTAGGTCACAGGAGCTAAAAATAGAAAAACCTTGTGACCACTCTAGTGGTCACATTTTTGACCCAATCATCATCAAACTTTGTCAGGATGCTTGTTTAGATAATAGCTCTGATGAGTTCGAATATGGGTCATCTCGGATGAAAAACTAGGTCACCGGAGCTATAAATAGAAAAACCTTGTTAACACTCTAGCGGTCACATTTTTGCATCAATCATCATCAAACTTGGTCAGGATGCTTATCTAGTTGATAGCTTGGATGAGTTTGAACATGGGTCATCTCGGATGAAAAAGTAGGTCACCGGAGCTAAAAATAGAAAAACCTTGTGACCACTCTAGCGGTCACATTTTTGCATCAATCATCATCAAACTTGATCAAGATGCTTGTCTAGGTAATAACTCGGATGAGTTCGAACATGGGTCATCTCGGATGAAAAACTAGGTCACAGGAGCTAAAAATAGAAAAACCTTGTTAACACTCTAGTGGTCACAATTTTGACTCAATTGTCATCAAACTTGGTCAGGAAACTTGTCTAGGCATTGCTGGGAATAAATCGAACATGGGACATCTCGGATGAAAAACTAGGTCACAGGAGCTAAAAATAGAAAAATCTTGTTAACACTCTAGTGGCTACTGTTGTGATCCAAATATTCTGTTAATTGGTCTGAAAGTTTGTTTTGATGATTTCTAAGTCAAGATCGAACATGGGTCATCTTGGATGAAAAAACTAGGTCACACCGCCCAAATATGGAAAAACCTTGTTAACATTCTAGTGGTCACATTTTCGACTCCATTATCATCAAACTTGGTCAGAATGCTTGTCTAGGTAATTGCTTGGATGAGTTCGAAATCGCATGTGAAACTAGGTCACCGGAGCTAAAAATAGAAAAATCTTGTTAACACTCTAGTTGCTACTGTTTCGATCCAAGTATCCTGGAAATTGGTCTGAAAGTTTGTTTTGATGATTTCTAGGTCAAGTTTGAATATGTGTCACCTGGGTAAAAAACTAGGTCGCACTGCTCAAATATGGATAATCCTTGTTAACACTGTAGTGGTCACATTTTTGACTCACCTGTCATGAGACTTGGTCAGAATGCTTGTCTAGGTAATTGTTTGGATGAGTTTGATAATTCAGGTGAGCGATCTAGGGCCATCATGGCCCTCTTGTTTTTTGTACAAATGTGTAGCACATTGATATAAGTACAGGGTGCAAGACACAGGTCTGAAGCACAAAGGTCAAGGTCAATATGACTAAGAATTGATTTCTGTGTTGGTCAGAATTCCTGTAATTACTGAATAACAATGTATGCATCTATTTGACATGTTTTAAAACCAAGACCAAGGTCACCAGTAAGTGTACATCCAGTCATGAATCTCATGATATGATTGTGAATAAATGGTTAATTAATTTTTTTTTAAATATTATTGCGATTAAGCTTATGTTTCTCATGCCAAACCAAGGCTTGTTACTCAAAGATCAAGGTCATACTTTACTGGAAAAGAAATGTTTCATTGAATAGCATTGATATTGTGTCCATTCAACAATCCTGTCATTCCTGGATGAACTTAACAATTACTTTGCATAAATGTGTTGCATGTTATGATGTCATGTGACATGCAGGAGTTAGGTCTTCAGCTCAAAGTTCAAGGTCACACTTGAATGCAAGTCATGATTGTGAAAAGATTGTCAAATTTTGTGCATATTTTTGTTATGCCCCCGCCATGTAATGGCCGGGGCATATAGTGTTACCCTGTTCCGTCCTTCCGTCCTTCCGTCATTCCGTCCTTCCGTCATTCTGTCATTCCGTCATCATCAGTTTCCGTTCATTATCTTAGTAACGGTTGCACATATTCAACTCAAATTTGACATATGGATATGTCATGAGAAAATACAGGTCAAGTTCGAATTTGGTCATGGTTCGATGATTTTTGGCAGAGTTATGCCCCTTTTACTTTGAAAATAATATGAAATTTTCAGTTTCCGTTCATTATCTCCCCAACCGTACAACACATTCAACTCAAATTTGACACATTGATATGTCATGAAACAATACAGGTCAAGTTCGAATTTGGTCATGGTTCGATGATTTTTGGTAGAGTTATGCCCCTTTTACTTTGACAATAATATGAAATTTTCAGTTTCCGTTCATTATCTCCCCAACGGTACAAAATATTCAACTCAAATTTGACATATTGATATGTCATGAGAAAATACAGGTCAAGTTCGAATTTGGTCATGGTTCTATGATTTTTGGCAGAGTTATGCCCTTTTACTTTGAAAATAATATGAAATTTTTGAGTTTCCGTTCATTATCTCCACAACAGTACAACACATTCAACTCAAATTTGACATATGGATATGTCATGAGAAAATACAGGTCAAGTTCGAATTTTGTCATGGTTCGATGATTTTTGGCAGAGTAATGCCCCTTTTACTTAAAAATAATATGAAATTTTCAGTTTCCGTTCATTATCTCCCCAACGGTACAACATTTTCAACTCAAATTTGACATATGGATATGTCATGAGAAAATACAGGTTAAGTTTGAATTTGGTCATGGTTCGATGATTTTTGGCAGAGTTATGCTCCTTTTACTTTGAAAATAATATGAAATTTTCAGTTTCTGTTTATTATATCCTCAACAGTACAACACATTCAACTCAAATTTGACATATGGATATGTTTTTAGAATGCCCAGGCCCAGTTCTAATTTGTTCATTGTTCAATGATTTTTGGCAGAGTAATGCCCCTTTCACTTTGAAATTAATATGAAATTTACAGTTTCTGTTCATTATCTACCCAACAGTGTTACATATTCAACTCAAATTTGACATATGAATATGTCAAAGGAATGGGCAGGTCAAGTTGGAATTTGGTCATGGTTCGATGATTTTTTTGGCAGAGTTATGTCCCTTTCACTGAAAATAATATAGATACATCTTAGGAATAAGCAGTTTAAGTTTGAATTTGGTCGTGGTTCAATGATTTTCGACAAACTTATCTTTCTTGAATATTGGAAAAATTTTGAACTTTCAGTTTCAGCACTCATACTTTTGTGGAAATATATGTAGCCATTATTTTGGCTACAAATATGAAATATGCTATTTTCAAAAGGTTAAGACTGAATAATTTCAGTGCCTTGAACATTGTATGGAAATGATTTGTGTTAACATTGAAAAGTTTTAAGGGCTTTGAACTTAAAATGAAAACAATAATTTGTGCGAACAAATTTGGAACTAAATATTATAACATCTGAAATTTTGGCTGCATGCGGGGGCATCCGTGGCATGATGACACATTTCTAGTTAAAACATAATTTCAAGGGAAGTACAACCTAGAGCTTGCTTAAAATGATAAAGAGAACAAACAAATAAAAGATAAATATGAAAAATAAAAAAAACACCAGTGTTATTGTATTCTTGCTAGATCCTGAAAAAGTTATTAAACTGAATTTTGCATCTTTTAAACTATATATGTTTGATGCTTTAGTTTATGATGAATAGTAAATTTGTGTTTTTGTATTACAGAATCATAAACAGGCAGATGAATAAAGTGATGTGATGTGCCACATCAAATTTTGACCTGGTGTAGCTTACCTTTGAGACATAGGGAGATGTGTAATAGTGAACATTTTGTACAGACGTATTATGTGAATGTTATACTTGTACATACATCATGATGTCATAAAACATGGTCTCAAACTCATGTCTTCATGTAGAAATGGTTTGTGAATAGAATGTCACAAGAAAAAAAATGGATATAATTACTGATCTAACATCTTTTTTTTTAATGTATTTATTTGACCGTTTCATTTGTATTCTGTTAGGTATATTAGTTAGTGGTAAGTAAATATCATAGTTAACATAGTTAAAGTATAATCATAATTATTATTAAAACAAAAAATCTTGTAACAACACTACCCTACAGTGTTTGTAAAACATAAAAATAAAAGAATGTGCATTGTATTGATATTTTAATGATGATGACATGGGTACGTTACGATACCGAAATCAACTTGATTTCGGTAAAGTTACCGAAATCAACTTTTCATTACCGAAATCAACTCGTAAAAACCAAACTAGTTAAAATATTGCTATTATTTCTTCATTATTTGATGAAAAATAGTGAAATAGACTTTCAGTTAAAAAATCTATTGAAAATATTTTATTTTAATGATGTTATTAACAAAAATGTAATTATTGAGTTACTTCCCTTTGTTCTAAACAACTCGTTATGTGTTTAGCATTACCGAAATCAACTCGTAAAAACCAACTTAGTTAAAATATTGCTATTATTTCTTCATTATTTGATGAAAAATAGTGAAATAGACTTTCAGTTAAAAAATCTATTGAAAATATTTTATTTTAATGATGTTATTAACAAAAATGTAATTATTGAGTTACTTCCCTTTGTTCTAAACAACTCGTTATGTGTTTAGCATTACCGAAATCAACTCGTAAAAACCAACTTAGTTAAAATATTGCTATTATTTCTTCATTATTTGATGAAAAATAGTGAAATAGACTTTCAGTTAAAAAATATATTGAAAACATTTTATTTTAATGATGTTATTACCACAAATGCAATTATTCAGTTACTAGCCTTTGTTCTAAACAACCCGTTATGTGTTTAGCATTACCGAAATCAGCGGTGAAGTTTAAATTATGTAAATAATTAGTAGATAGTAGATTAGATAACTCTAGTAGAGCTCTATTTTATAGACATATTTATGTTTTTAAGTTTCAACCATATCTAAATATTATCAATCTTGAACGGTTTTGTAAAGATCTCACTAGGTTAAGAGTATCATCTCATAGATTGCACATAGACTCAGGTAGATGGACTAAACCAAATAGTACACCTTTAAATGATAGAAAATGTTTTTCATGTAATGTCTTAGAAGACTAATACCATTTCATATTAGAATGCAATGTATATAATGATTTAAGAAAAAGTCTGATACCGCCATATTAGCATGTTATATATCTGCACGTGATTGTCGTGCATAACAATTTTCTAAATAAAATCATATTTTTAAAAAGCTATGATCGGACTATGATGGAAAAATAAAATACTCTGTAATATGAGTTAAAGATAATTATAAATTTGTACATGTTTATGTTTTATGAAGAAAAATATCCAACTTCAACCGGAAGTTCATGATTTTCTATTATAAATTTGAATACAGATATATAATTAGACTGCTCTAAAAATGTTCCATAAAAATTGTATAATGTATCAGGCAGTAAAATTGGAAATTGGAAAGTTTGTGTCTTTCTTTTATTGAACAGTTTAACTATATATTAACAAATCACTAACATATGTTATGGGGACTCTTTATTATAATATTTTTATATTTTTGTCATTTATTTAAATGTTTAATACGAAATAAACAGATGGTTCATTATAATCTTTTATCTTTAACATACAATATATGTCAACTGTACCTCCTGTCTTAATTACTTCACACCTTACTTAATACAGTAATACACAGCATGTCATATCGTACAAGTTGCAACATTTCATAATTGAAATTTGTCAGTATAAAGTGTTCCATTTTTTTCATCATATAAATATATACCAGTCATTCCATAAATTTATGCTGTTTACAGATATGAAATTTAAAATGATTTCAAATCGATCTACATAAAATCATTACTTAACACTTTTTCAATAAGTAGAATATGTAGTTAAGTATCCGGGACATCAAAAAATTGCATACATTTTTGGAACAACTGATATGCATTTTGGTAATAATAATATCAAAGCACCTTCTCTCATATACCGAAATGTTTTTTACGGAAACGTTTAGCGACTACCCCTACAAATTAGTTAAAACCGGTCTTTTGACAATTTATTTAATATAAAATTATATTTTTACCAGCTTACTAGATCTGAAATATGTATAATATAGAACTATAAAAAAAAGTCTTTTGATATATATTATATAGGGATGGTCGCTATACGTCATTTTATATTAAACTGTAATGTATTTTTTGTCTTAATGGAGACAAGCAGCTTTAATTTCATGTAAAATAATTATTTTGGATACTTTAAAGTTTGCATGCGCCGATGAATATTAAAGGATTGCGGTTAACGAGTATGTTAATTATGTCAACTAACACCTCCATTGTCCGAGCACGTGTATGCTTGCTCCTTATTAGTAAAGGTGTTATGATGAATGGCTACCGCTACGTCTTTTTATTTTAATCAAATCATAATCATTGGATTTAAATTAAATACTGTGATAATTTCCAATCAACTATTTTAATAGTGATCTAAATTAGGCGGATAACTTCAAACACAGTTTTGTTTAATCTTGTATTTTGAAATCATTAAGAAACATGATACGCTGCAATGTTATCTCACTAAACATTGAAAATAAGCGATATGAATTCAAAGTTTAAAACTCACTCAAATACCTTTTTCATAGACTTCTGAAATTCATGCAAATATTTTAGGGGTTGTTCTCATCTTTGAAATGAAATCTGATTTGATTTCGGTAATGCAACACATTAATAACAAGGGAAGTAATCATGATATATAATATACATATCCGTCTATAACATCATCATTCTTTATAATTAAATATTATTTTCCTATGTTTATGGTTCAGTTTGAATGATTATATATTAATTAATTAAACAAGATCCTTGAAAATGTTTATTTTAACTTTTACAAGCCGATTTCGGTATGGTAACATATATTTCGGTTCGTGACAAATCAGGGAAGTAATATTGATATATAGGTAATTGTTTCTAATTTCATAATTATTAATTATTCCGAACTGATTTTTTGCATGAATGTCAAACTAAACCTATTGTAATAGATTATAATGAAAAAAATGAAATAGAACGCTTAATTGTGATTTTACAAGTCGATTTCGGTATTGTAACATATATTTCGGTTCGTGACAAATCAGGGAATATTCTTGATATTTAGTTATTTGTTTCTAATATCATTATTAATGATTATTTCGAACTGATTTTTTGCATGAAAGTCAAACTTAACCTATTGTAATATATTATAATGAAAAAAATGTAATAGAACGCTTAATTGTGATTTTACAAGTCGATTTCGGTATTGTAACATATATTTCGGTTCGTGACAAATCAGTGAATAATCTTGATATTTAGTTATTTGTTTCTAATATCATTATTAATGATTATTTCGAACTGATTTTTTGCATGAAAGTCAAACTTAACCTATTGTAATATATTATAATGAAAAAAATATAATAAAACGCTTAATTGTGATTTTATAAGTTAATTTCGGTAATGAAAAGTTGATTTCGGTAACTTTACCGAAATCAAGTTGATTTCGGTATCGTAACGTACCGTGATGACATTTACTTGGCTATACTTTGTAATAAATGTGTAAAAAATTTTGTTGTTGTTTTTTTTTCCATGTAGCATATTGTAGATCTTTGTTTAAGTCCCTGACATAGTTTTTGTATAACTCCCTGAAATAGCTAAGGATGCTGACTTTGATCATTAAATGTCCCCAGCTCACTACTGCAAGAACAAATCCTGCCAGAGACTTTGGATTCTTATGTGTCAGAAAATTCTCCAGATAGCTGTTATTGTGCTAGGGGTGACAGTGTGCTTGTGTGAGCACATATTCTTTCAGCAACTGGAAAGAAGTCATATATATGACTTATTATTTCAGGCCACTCACTTTCACCATTTTGAAATTACATATCAATAATTATCCAAGTGATTTGAAGTTTTCTTTGAAGAAAATCAATTTGAGTAATAGACTGACACATATATAAATAAGAAAAAAGCTTGACTATACTGAGCCAAAGTAAGACTGTATTACATGTTTATTAAGTGTTTTCCTTTTATTTGCCCTAGTATCTGGCCTGCTATAACCATGTAATTACTATTTAAACCTTATCAAGATTCAAATTTTAGTACACTACACTGTAAAAAACGACCACAATGTCCAACTCTAAAATACTGCAACTGATCTGAAAAAGTATGAATAGAATTATTTTGACCGACTATTTTTGATAAGATGTCTTAATAAACTTATTTGACAGAGTTTGGTCTTCACTTTGAATTTATCAAGGGAGGTAATTAAAGTTACTTTTCTCTGGTTTAATATTTTTTTTTTTAATTGACCCAGTCCTTGACTAAATTCTGTAGAAACACTCTTTGGTTAGCTCTAATTTTAACCCCAAATCTTAAGTACGTCTTATAAATATCACATCTGTTACTTAAATTAGTATTAAAATATCTTTTTGTTCAATATATTCGTTGGGTTAGTTAAGCTCTTTTCTTTTTGTCCAATAGAATTCTTTGAAAACATTTAGCTCATGAAATCGGAAGTGAAATGTTAACAAGGAAGAAATTTTGTAAACACAGGAAACGTGTTTAATTATTTTCAATTGTCTTTTGCTAAGTAGCTTAAAATCAGATTGTAATGTAAATACTACTTGATAATTACGGATCTTAAACTTTGTTCTCACGTCAGGAAGTGAAAGATGAGTGCAATGTATTCAAGGGCCTTTGATCATATCACAGATACACAAAATGAAATTGAAAATGACTCGGATTACACGTATCAGGACCCTGAGGTATATCGTTGTTGTTACGTTAATTCTACGTTTTTGAAATATGTAAAAGGTCGTATTTATTTAAAGAAAGTGTAAGCTTTTTTTCTGTGTGTTTTAAATAACACTTTATTTAAAGGTAGAGTAAATTATCCTCGAGTGACCAGTTTCGACGCCCTTAAGGATTGTTTTGTATGCCGCTATGCGTCTATTAAAACCATGTGATTGTATCGTCTATTAAAACCATGTGATTGTATTGTATAAAATGTTTTAACTTTTTAAAAAATCTCTAACCTTTATGAAATGGGCGGTACGTTACGATACCGAAATCAACTTGATTTCGGTAAAGTTACCGAAATCAACATTTCATTACCGAAATCAACTTATAAAATCACAATTAAGCGTTTTATTAGATTTTTTTAATTATAATATATTACAATAGGTTAAGTTTGACTTACATGCAAAAAATCAGTTTAAAATAATGATAATTATGAAATTAGAATCAAATAACTAAATATCAAGCTTATTCCCTGATTTGTCACGAACCGAAATATATGTTACAATACCGAAATCGACTTGTAAAATCACAATTAAGCGTTTTATTATATTTTTTTTCATTATAATCTATTACAATAGGTTTAGTTTGACTTTCATGCAAAAAATCAGTTCGAACTAATTAATAATTATGAAATTAGAAACAAATATATGAATATCAAGATTACTTCCCTGATTGTCACGAACCGAAATATATGTTACCATACCGAAATCGGCTTGTAAAAGTTAAAATAAACATTTTCATAGATCTTGTTTAATTAATTAATATAAAGTCATTCAAACTGAACCATAAACAAAGGAAAATAATATTTAATTATAAAAAAATGATGATGTTATAGACGGATATGTATATTATATCATGATTACTTCCCTTGTTATTAATGTGTTGCATTACCGAAATCAAATCAGATTTCATTTCAATGATGAGAATAACCCCTAAATAATTTGCATGAATTTCAGAAGTCTATGAGAAAAGTTAGTTGAGTGAGTTTTAAACTTTGAATTCATATCGCTTATTTTCAATGTTTAAATTTTCCCTTTAGTCAGATAACATAGCAGCGTATCATCTCTTTGATATTTCTTAATGATTTTGAAATACAAGATTAAACAAAACTGTGTTTGAAGTTATCCGCCTATTTAGACCACTATTAAAATAGTTGATTGGAAAATTATCACAGTATTTAATTTAAATCCAATGATTATGATTTGATTTAAATAAAAAGACGTAGCGGTTGCCATTAATCATGTAATCATAACACCTTTACTATAAAGAGCAAACATACACGTGCTCGGACAATGGAGGTGCTAGTTGACATTACATACTCGTTAACCGCAATCCTTTAATATACATCGGCGCATGGAAACTTTAGAAATACTTTTTTATAGTTTTATAGTATAAATATTTCAGATCTAGTAAGCTGGTAAAAATATAATGTTATATTAAATAAATTGTAAAAAGGTCTGTTTTAACTAACATGTAGGGGTCGTCGCTATACGTTTCCGTAGAAAACATTTCGGTATATGAGACAAGGTGCTTTGATGTTATTATTACCAAATTGCATATCAGTTGTTCCAAAAAACAGCATAAATTTATGGAATGACTGATATATATTTATATGATGGAAAAAATGGAACACTTTAAACTGACAAATTTCAATTATATAATGTTGAAACTTGTACGATATGACATGTTGTGTATTACTGTATCAAGTAAGGTGTGAAGTAATTAAGACAGGAGGTACAGTTGACATACAATGTATGTTAAAGATAAAAGATTATAATGAACCATCGATTTATTTCGTAATAAACATTTAAATAAATGACTAAAATAAAAAAAATATTATAATAAAGAGTCCCCATAACATGTTAGCGATTTGTTAATATATATAGTTTAACTGTTCAATAAAAGAAAGACACAAACTTTCCAATTCAAATTTTACTGTCTGATACATTTTAAAATGTTTATGGAAATTTTTAGCGCAGTCGAGTTATATATCTGTATTCAAACTCATAAAACATAAACATGTACAAAATTTATAATTAGATTAAACTCATATTACAGAGTATTATATTTTTCCATCATAGTCCGATCATAGCTTTTTAAAAATACTATTTGATTAGAAAATTGTTATGCACGATAATCACGTGCAGATACATAACAGGCTTGTGCTTATGTCTTGTAATAAATGGTTGCTGTACATACATAATTTGTGTACCAAATATCTCTAAACCTGCAATATATTTTATTGCATAATGACTTAAAGTAAATCAAACCCTGTTCGAAAGTTCATTTCATAGGTTAGTGAAAAAAATCTTTCTTCATCATTAATATTGTACCGAGTTAAATGAATATATATCACTTTTTCATATTCATGTTCCATATTCTATTAATAATCGGTGAAAATAGAAGATATGTTCTGTTCGTTATAAATATCGGCAAGTTCTTATAGGCTGGAGTAACATTTGTTTATTAATTAATTTATTATTAGTTACTTAAAGAAAAGAGATGCACTGAACAGATATTACACGCAATATCTATTCAGTTGCAACTGAACGCTCTCATCAATGCAGTCGGGTTTTCTTTAATTTCAAAAACATAAATTATCTTAAATAATCACTATATATGTATTATACATGTATTTTATATACATAATGCTGATTTCGGTAATGCTAAACACATAACGGGTTGTTTAGAACAAAGGGAAGTAACTCAATAATTTTTGTTAATAACATCATTAAAATAAAAAAATTTCAATAGATTTTTTAACTGAAAGTCTATTTCACTAATTTTCATCAAATAATGAAGAAATAATAGCAATATTTTAACTAGGTTGGTTTTTACGAGTTGATTTCGGTAATGAAAAGTTGATTTCGGTAACTTTACCGAAATTAAGTTGATTTCGGTATCGTAACGTACCCTGAAATGGGTAAATTTAAGCTGTATTCCTTTTCATGAACAGTCCTACTTTCACTTCATCCGGGAGCGGCCTTTTTTATTGAGAGTGCCCTAAAACGACGCCATTGATTGGCTAATTTAACTACACACTACACGAGACTGTACACTATAATACTTTTACTTACGTTGTTCACCAATATCAAGAGCATAGACCTGCAAAGTATCAACAAGTGAAAAAAAGTTTATCTATTCTTTATTTCTTTCATAAATAAAGCATTATTATATATGTGGTGTATGCTATTGATGTATTTTTACAGTGGTTTGGATGGTAGCCCTAGTCTGTTTGACCTCCTCTGCTGAAAGATATAGGTTGGAAAATAGCACCTTTACTTTCTTTGTCGAACCTGCAAAAACAAAATAATACATTTAGTGGAGCAACTTATTAAAATATGGCAATTCATTCCATCCAAATAAGATAAATATATCCAATTAATTTTCAATTAACATTCAATCATCGATTAATAACTGTAAAAAAATCTACAACACGTACAGGTTGCATTAGGGTGAAAAAATGCGCCAAAAACAACACTTTTTGGTAATTTTTACTGCCACGTGACCTGAGAATAAAGAAATGAGGTCAGCAGACAGGGAGGTATTTTCCAGCCGATTTTTTCAAGGAAAACATGACATAGTAAAGTGAGGATCAAAATCGCATTTGTGAAATCATACAAAAATCTCTTAAATAAGGTATAACATGCTAAATCTTACCTTTGAGGGTCTTACTTACTACATATTGTTACCTAACCATCTAGAGGAATCCCCTTTTGCTATAGAGTTATAAGGACTTTGGTTGGTCTACTCAGATGCCTGCTCTAAGCTATCCAACTTAGAATGATCCAGCTAGCTAAAAAAAGTAACAGGACATTGGTTGTTCTACTGTTGCTTAACATAATGCACAGAGAGGCACCTGAGGTCTTCACTAGTATAAAATATGGCAAGTTGCCTAGCCCTTTAAAGTGTTGTCAACAAAACAAACTATATGAGTCAGACAACCAAATAATTTCACTCTTAAACAATATTGCTTTGAGTGTGACAGATACTGATAGAGCTGTAAGTCCTGTAAGTTATAGAGATTAATTTTTATGCCCCCACAAAGTGGGGAGCATATAGCGTTTCACTTGTCCGTCTGTCCGTACGTCCCTAAATCTTGTGAACGCAACTCCTCTTAAACCGGATGGCAGATTTTGCTTAAACTTCTAGGGATGAACAACCTTAATGTGTAGATGGTAGTAAAGGAAGGGATTTTTGCTGCGACCAAATTTAACAGAATTATGGCCCTTTGTTGATTTTTTCACTATATACTATGTAGAAATTTTGTGAACGCAACTCCCCTTAAACCGGATGGCAGATTTTGCTTAAACTTCCAGGGATGAACAACCTTAATGTGTAGATGGTAGTTAAGGAAGGAATTTTTGCTGCAACCAGATTTAACAGAATTATGGCCCTTTGTTAATTTTTTCACTATATACCATATAAAAATTTTGTGAATGCAACTTCTCTTAAACCGGATGGCAGATTTTACTTAAACTTCTAGGGATGAACAGCTTTAATGTGTAGATGGTATTAAAGAAAGGAATTTAACAGAATTATGGCCCTTGTTGATTTTTTCACTATATACCATATAAATAATTGAACATATAAATTTTACATTTCATTTTGTAATTTAATTTAACATGTACATAAGGTTACCTGTAGATCATTTTAGGTATATGTACAGAAATGAAACAGTGGAATGAAAAAGTTCCACATAAAAATCTTACATACAGATATGCATGCTCTTGTTTACGAGCACATCTGCAAGGTGGGGGCATCCGTGTCCTTTGGACACAGTTCTAGTTGATTTTCTTCTAACACAACTTACCATCATACACGTTTTTTTTCTGTTTTAGCAAAAAATAAGATTTAACTGTTAAATCACTCCCAAAGAAATTATAACAGTCCGAAAAACAGCGCGGATTTGTCTTTTTGGCGATACCACCAGGGACAATTCTTTCCTATCATGGACAATTATGGTGGAGGTCTTTGTGATTTATATTACTACTCATTGAAACTCAACCCATGCAGTATTTTACAACAATGCACTCAGAGTAATTATTATATCTATTTCCTAAACAATGATTTTATATTGATATCTGATGACAGATATAGAGGATCAACGAGGATACACAGACCCTCTATGCATATTACCATAATACCGCGCATTTTTGTCATTATTACTGAGAATATGTCCATTATGCAATAACAGAATAGTTTTAGACATGTAATTTCCACTAAACACCTGCTTCCTTTTGTGATTTTTCACAATTTTTGCCATTTAAAAAAAAAGAAAAAGTACAAAACTCACATATCCAAATGAAATTTCTGTAAATATCCATTTGAATTTTCCTATAACGCTTTGTTATAAAAAGAGTGGGGTGTTATAAAAAGAGTTGGGCAGTCTTTTTATATTTTAGGCAGATTTATAATTTTATCCTGAACATTTTCCTATAATAACTGTTGGTCAAACACCATTTTGACAGTCAATCTTTTGAAATATAATGTCAATTCAGCTCCACTTGACTATGAAAATATGAGCATAATGTCACTTTAATGTAAGCTTATTATTGCTTTATCAAATCTTTTTTAATACTTGATGAACAGGAAATATTGGCAATACATTGATATTGTTTCTATTGACCATGGTAATGACGGCTCTAATTTCAATGTCACGTTGTTTTGCCTAGAAGTAATTTCACAGAACAATGTTTTTTAGTATTAATACTGCAACTAGTACTGTTGTTAGTACAGGTATATTGGCAGTATCAATGATCAACTTAGTACCTTTTTTACTGTTTAGCGGTAAATGTTTAGGCAAGATATTGGATGCTGACTTTGTCTGAAATCATATAAATGGGTAAAATGCTATATTAGAATATCTTTTATTGTCTAAACATAGTACCAAAGTTAATTGCTAAAATAATGTATTAACGTTAAAAACTTTGTTAATTTCCAATAAAGTGTGTGGTGCTTTCACAAAAACCATTACTAAACATACTAATTACAGCAGTTGAATATTTTGTTCCGGAACATTTTATACTGTTTTATAAAATACATGTATGTAATCATTGTGTGTTAAAATTAATAATACATACACTTTTTGCTCAAAATCTCTCCAGATAAAAGGCAGATATGATCATAACTCATATAAAGTATGAACATGGAAACCATATGGGCACAGTGTTTCCATTTTCAAAATTTGGAAATCAGACTCAGAGACTGCAAAATCTCTGACTTTGGAAGTTACATGTAACATGATATAGATTAAGAAGGAAAATACATGTACAGGTATTTGAGAACTTGTCAGATTCTTGAGAGGAGAGATGAAATTCAGCTGTGACTCTGGCTTTTGTGTGATGTACATGTATAATATTAATAAATTCAATTACATATAAATTGAAATATACATTGAACTTTGATTTTACAGATGGTGTTTAACATATGTTAAAAGGTAGACTTATTTTGAATAATTTCCCTGTCCAGTTGTTTACAACTAACATGTTGGTTAAAAGTATATAATTACATGAGATGTTATTTAACACAATCCCAATGTTTTACTGTCCTAACATGATTAATCTCTAGTGAATGTTTTTTCCTTGTTGTAGCTGTCAACATGAAGGTTGATTTGCATCTGGCATGTTGCATCAAGTGTATTTCATACATACAATAATTCTGCTCCTTTTATAAACAAAAAAAATTTGCTTGCTATGAAAAACATTTTATATAATGATACATCATTACGTGTAATATTTGTACATTGCTTTGAACTATAAAAAGTATAAGATGTAAAGTGAATGTGTCAGGCAGCTACTTGTTCCTCTTTTATTATAGTCTCAGAAATTCAGCCTGAATGAAGATTAATTTTTAAATATATGAGCTGCGTCACGACAAAACCAACAAAGTCAGTATCTGTACTTGTAATAGGGCTTGTAAGGGAACAGCATGGATCCTGATCAGACTGAGCGGATGCGCAGGCTGGTCTGGATCTATGCTGGTCGCAAGCCCATTTTGTTGGTTTTGTCATGGCATGGCTCATATCATTCTGTTTATGAGGTTCTGGTATAATTAAGCTTCACAACAAAGCCATTGTGTCTACAAAGCATGTGATTTTTATCCATTATCAATAAAACTTTATAAAAGTTATTTATAAGTACCATGAATTGTATTTCTTCCTTGATAACCTCTTAAAGGGCAATTTTAATTCAATTTTATAGGCTATTATTACTTTTATTTCCTGTTCTGTGGTTTCCTTTTTTGGTTATACAAAGAATGATATCAAACAATCATGCAGTATCCGGTTATATAACACAATGATGAAAGGATCAAAGAATTTCGACAAAGTTAAATGCAGCAATTGTGTACTTAAATTACTAAATATGATACCCATTGACTTGTGTACTAGTATAGCACATTTTTTTGTTCAATTGGGAAGGAAATTAATCTGTTTTTCTTTTTTTTTCAAGATGATAACTTCAAATGGTGGAAAGTCAAAAAAAAGGGCACATAACTCTGACATTAGTTTTGAGTATATCATTGCCCTTTGTAAATTGAAAATAAATCTGCTTAAAGTTTTGCATGCAAAATTCATCCTATAAACTACTGAAGGTATCCACTTTAAAACTTGATTTGTATCAACAAGATCATAAATGGAAGTCACTTTCCAATGCCCATATCTCTTACATGGATTTTGACTTATTTTGGCCCTTTGTGAATTGACAATGTTCCTTGTTAAAATTGTGCATGCAACATCAATCTTTAAAACTACTGAGGTTTCACACATGTTTTCAGGGTCACAATTTAAGGTCTTTATCCTTTGGGGTCATAATTTTGACATTGAATTTTTCTGGACCAAATACTGTACATGTAATAGTCTTTGTGAACTTAGAATATTTCTAGCTTAAGTTTTTTGGTACTAAGATTAGTCTTCAAATCTCCTGAAGGTATTCGCTTGAAGCTTCTAACATGCATTTGGGGTCATTATTGTCGGTCATTTCATTGAGACTCAAACTTGAAGCTGCATGTATATCTTGCATTTTGTTTTAATTTTTTCATTTGTTTATTTCTATCATCCTGGTTCAGAGGTTCAAATGTTATTTCTAAGTACTATGATGCTTTTAAAATTGAAGACGGTCTAAAATTAATAATGTCATAAAATAGTGCAATGTTTGAATAAAACACTACATGATTTTCACTGTCATTTGAAGTCCACCTGATAAAACCTAATTATTTCTATTTCTTCTCTACTTTAGAACTTTAAAAGTAATTCCTACATGATCGTACACTCAAAAATGTTTAAAGAGCATTACTGGAATATTTGTTTAATGACATCACAAACTTGAAGATTTTGTAAAACTGTTTACTTTGGTATATGTCATATTTGAAATAAAATTTTCATACATATCATACAGCAAAACAAGACTTTTGACACTAACTTCCAAAAAATTTATATTGTCATTTTACAAAGTTTCTTGCACTTTGCAAGTAAATTCTTTGTTTTGCATCATAAATATTTTTGTATGTATGTAACTTTTGTATGTATGTAAATGAAAATTTTTACTTTTGTAAAATTATCTTGATGAAGGTTTAGTGTAGATGTAGACCTTGTGTGCGGCAAATTTCCTCATTGCAAACTTATACATTATATTGTCATATATTTCTTCTTCCTTTTCATAATTGAGCATAATTATTCTTCTTTCAGTTTAGCAACAATATTAGCTCATTCAGGCGACCAGGTGGTGGGGGAAGATCCAGTGCTTTTAGAGTAAAAGATCGTGATTTAACAAGGGACACGTCCACACATGATGACATGGGTCAGGACCATTCTTCTTCACAGTATATTGATGTGTTTGACAGTCCGAAAAACAGACGGACGTCTAATCAACAATTGTAAGATATTTTATCACAACTATATTGTTGAAGTCATAAACTTATAAATGGATAAATGATTTGCAGAAAAAGAAATTCAGAGAAAAGTGAAGTGACTTTTTATGTTTGACAGATGCTATTTTACCGATTATACCAGAATTTATCAGAATTTTTTTCTCAAAAGCTTTTTTTTTTTAAGTGCCCTGTTATAGTAGTCCAAAATTTACTTATTGGCCAATTACCTTATGCTTCTTTTACTTATATTGCTTTTTGCCAATTTGAACATTTATAGTGATTTAGTATTTTAGTATGGAAGTCAAAAGACTACTTTGTCTACATTTTGCTACTTTAATGACAAATAATTTCACATTCATCACTTCTGTGACAAGTTCTGTCTTCAGGTGACATTAAAGCATCTTACATGCTCTAAAACCATTATTCCAACATTATAAAACTTATGTTTGCATTTATAAAGAATGAGCATTTTATTCGTTTCTGAGGATTTATGTGAGTTTAAGAATGCATGTCTTTTGATGCACATAAGTAATAACTGTTCCATTGGACAAAAAAACAACAACTATAAAATAAAGAATTAGTTCTTAATTAATAATCTAATGACGAGGTATTGTATCAAGATTTTCATATGATTGTGTAGGCCTCACCGCGTGAGTGAACCAGTTCTAAGACGAGGTCATAGGGATGAGGAGTCAGAGACTTATTGTTATGCTTACTCCCAGAATGTGATTAGAGAAGAAGTAACCCTCAGGAATGCAAACCACCCAACTCAGGTATGTTCTGGTTATTACAGAAAGAGATACTCTTGTGGTGTATTATGAAATTTCCATTATTTTTGTAAATGTGATAAACCATTGGTGTCATTTTCAAGCTCTTATAGAGAAAATGTCATATTTTTGTCCTATTTAAATATGCATGATAACTTTAATTCATAAGGCATAAAAAATATATGAGCCGTGTCACGACAAAACCAATATAATGGGTTTACGACCAGCATGGATCCAGACCAGCCTGCGCATCCACGCAGTCTGATCAGGATCCATGCTGTTCGCTTACAGACCCTATAACTGCAAACAGCATGGATCCTGATCAGACTGCTGGTCGCAAACCCATTATGTTGGTTTTGTCATGACACGGCTCATATATGTTGCTTTTTGTCATTATTTACTCACCAATATTAGTGCACCATACTTGGGCACTTTGTCTGTCTGTCTGTCTTGACTTTTTAAGTCAGAAACTAGCTAACCAGTGTGTAAATGTTCATAGGAAACTTTGCTACCAACAGCAGCTATGCATAAAATTATTTTTTTTAACAAAGGTTTTGCCATTTAAACTTTTTCCAGCTGTAGTTGCTAACAGACTTTATTAACTGGAATTGATTGAAATATCATTTATAACTTATATAGGAAACATCACTACAAAGAGGTTAGGGCATGTTCCTATACATAGAATTTTCACAAAGTAAAATACATTTTCAGCTGTAATTTTTATCTTTTGTCTGAAAGTCAGCTTCATAGCTATCCAAGGAATATGAGCAACCACAGTATTTTCAAATGATTTGCTTTGTGCAAGAAGCATAACTCAGTCTGGTTTACTTTCTGAGTATAGTTTCTGAATAATCTCCCTTGAATACATTTAGCTTAAGATAAATCCAACATATTTTTATCTGTCCCAAAATTTTGTCAGAACAATTTCTCAGCAACCACTTGCATGAATTTATTAATTGTTCATAATATGTTTCATATGTTAAATAAATTAAATCACCTTTTGTCAACAAAAAGTAAATTAAAATTTTTTTTAGCGAAATTTACAGAACTGATGAGTCAATAGAAAATAACTTGTATTTTTTCTATACATTTGTTTGATTGTAAATCAGTTTAAAATGTAAACATTTTAGTTATATTGATGTTAAATGTCTTTGCCATATAGTGTATGTGTGTAAATGGCCAAAGTTGATTTGCCAATAAAGTTGAAAGTTAAACAACTCGAGATCTAATTACTGCTCCTGCCCTCTACACCTGATTCTCTCACACATCTCCCTACTTTAATGTGCTACATTGGGGAGCCTCTATCGTTGACAACAATATCATTGTTTAAAGACGTGAGCAGGTTACATAGAACTTTTTTTTATGAAATATGGGACCTAAATAAGAAATATTGTTCTATATTGATATGCTGCAGTTATGTGAAGAATCATTTAGCCATTAATAGTGTCAGGCTCAGTGACATACTTTTGTATGAAGATATATGAACATGTCTCTCTTTTAAGTTAATGAACAATTCATTTGTCACCAGTGTCTTCTGTAGGATTAAAACAGTTTGGTACAGTAGAAGTCACTATAACGATTTCAAAAATATTGATTACATTATCAAAATTACATAATAATGCAATAATTTTAAAAATCCTGTAAAAGTAAACTATTCTGTGTCTATAATAGTTTTGTGACATCATATATTTCATCTTAAGGCATTAGCTGGTGTCTTTTAAAAAAATTGGCATATTTCTTTTAAAATATATAGTTAATTATAATTAAGAATGATGCATCGTAAATTACATGAACTTTGTCATAAAATCGTCATGACCATGTTAACACATTGACATTATTTAGCTTAAGGCTATAATAATGACATGAACTTTATTCCCCAATCTCTCGTGTTTAGAAACAATCTAACTATTATGACTCACCAGGGTATGGTTCTGTGGACTGTATGTTTATCTGGTTTTAAAAATAACTTTTGTGAGTATTGTTTTCATTAGTTTTACAAGTAAGAAGATTTTTCTTAATTCACAGTAAAATGAGCAACACTGGGTGTACATTTAATTTATAGAAAAATAAGAAATTAGATTTTGTTCATAGAAAAAGGTTGATAGCAAAAATGTTTTATATGCTAGTAAAATCATGATAATTGTGTATATTTTTATGAAGTTTAACATTTAGATGACCTACATTCTTCATATACCATACACAGTAAAGTCTGACATATTTTTTTGTCATTTTTATTGCTTTGTTTAAAAAATATAACATAGCTAGAGGTATGGAAACTCCTGAAATCGCTACGTAAACACTTAACTTGATATGCTCCCCCAAACTAGGGCAATAAAATCTGATAAGAATATATTTTATGATAATGGTTTAAAAGTTTTGAATTAAGTGAATAGATTGTAGAAGGAAGTAATTATAAATAATAAAGTGATCAGGCAGTTCAACATTTTGGTGTAATGTGAGAGCTTTATGCTGTTATAGTGGATAGCCTGACTAAGATTTTTTTGTTTGTAACTAAAGGTCGAATTTTTTTATTCAGTAAGTGTGTTCATATATTTTCCTGTTTGAATCATTAATTGTTCTTCTATAAATAGCCAAGTTTTGTTTTCTGTTTTCTTTTTTTTCTTTTTCTATCTCTTCAAGTGGTTAGGAATGCTCTATGTAGAGACCTATTTTTTGTCAGATATAAAGTTGTTAGAAATATTGTTAATACAATAATTTGTGCTCAATTTTTACTGGAGTTATATAATAATTAAAAGATACGTTAAACCAGGTATACATTATATTACTGTATTTTTGTTATTAATTAATTAATTAAATGTATACAAATGATATCTATAAAAATACACTGTAATGTGTTAAAGGATAATAAAATTTTGGTAGGGACATGAACTTGCACAAAATTGGCATAAATTATGTTAAGTAATATAATAATGTATAACTTATAAATATCATTATTGTAATAAGAATAAAGATCCTGTTTTTTCGTTGTATACAATTACCAGAACAATGAAACACTCTATACAATTTTGCCTAATTAGCATTACTTTCGATAATCTTGCCTATTACTATACAACACAGTGTGTCACAAATTGTATTAAGAGCTGGACAGAAAACTTCTGTTTATATATAGTTTGGATATCATATGGTGTTCAGACATTTTTCATTAAAAAAAAATCTGGAGTTTTCTAAAGGTAAGAAAAAAGATGGAAAACGTGACTTTTTGTAAAAATAATTACAGATGAAAGCTTATCTTGTGTATTTAACTTCAGTTATGTGGTATCATACTTTAGTGTTATAATATAGTCATGATTTATGAATATTGTTCATCAGATACTTAAGGCTTCTTCACAGCTTCAGTGAATATATTTCTGGGAGATTAAAGTTCGGCAATAAAGGACAATGAATTTATATGTACATGTTAGATATTTACATGTTAATGCCAAGATTATTTTAACTTTTATAAGTATGTCTTAAAGGGATACTCAGGCAAAAAATTACAAAAATATTAAAATGATTTAATGTACTCAAATCACGCTAAAATGACATTTGTCAAAGTCCAAGCATGAATTTCTTTATAAATTCTATATATTTTGGGTTTGAAGCGTAAATATATCTATATATATTGAACGAAATTTAGACGCTGACAGAATCACCAAGTAGTTTTAAAACTAGTCATGTGACTTGAACAAAGCCTGGATTTAAAGTATTGTAGATATTGTATGATTGAAATAAGTCAAAGTCATTCATTTGACATAATCTATAACATTTTCGGAGTTCACTGTAGCAACTATTGTGATATTATAACGCTCTAACCTGACCCACGTGGGTCAAGTTAGGAAAAACAGAATAATAAATGAAAAAATCAAAACGAAGAAATGAAAATTTTGCCTGCGCCTCCCTTTAAGTGTCTGAATGGTTTTCTAGCTTGAAGTAAAGTTTTTATGTCAGGATCATGCTGTTAGCATTAGCACAAGGTCTAATAACATTGGATTTATAAGTTTGAGCTTTGGGTGAGACATATGGTTTTTACATCCCTATGAAACAGAACATCTGATTATTTTGGTTTATGACAATATGTTACACCATAGTATTAAAAATTTACATCTCTGAGTTAGGAATGGGCAGATTATAGTATGTTGATACATTAATATTACGATAGATAAATACATGTGTTGTTGTTGTTATTGTTACAGAGGTCAGTATCTTTGAGGGATGATTATTCACAACCTCCAGATAGAGTGTTGAGTACAGCATCAACACAGGATTATACAGAACCCTACCAGTCAGAAGGTAACACTTGTCTTATTTTTCTGATTTGATGAAGATTTTGAGTGTGTTGCTGCATAAAATTGCATTTAATGTATTGTTTGATGTCATTTAATTATGCTCCCGAAGAGTGAGAATATTGTCGCCGCTTTGCCCATTCGTCCGCTTTTCTTGTACTGGACATAACTTTGAAACAACAAGAGGTATCAACATGAAACTTTGTAGGTAGATAGATCTCATTGAACTTTTAACTTTGTCCAGGACGTAACTCTAAAACTATAAAAGGTATCAACATGAAACTTTGTAGGTAGATAGATATCTCATTGAGTAGGTGTGCAGTGCACAAGAACCGTGCCTCTGTCTTGCCTAATTTTTGAATTATTGCCCTTTGTTTATTTTTACAGTTTAAACTTTGTGTGGTACATAACCCTCTAAAACTATAAGAGGGGAGCATCACCCGGTTCAACTGGTTCTTGTATTTAATATTTTATTTACATTATCTTGACAGCCAGTGAAGTTCTTACATTTCTGTTTTAAAGACATTCTAATACATATATCAAAGGATAATGCACCCTGTAGATCAGTTTTGCACCCACATCCCCTGGGATTACAACCTGGTACCCATATCCCCATTGGGACTAGTGTGGACTTTACAACTTGGTACCTACATTCCTCTGGGAATAGTGGAGACCTCACAACCTGGCATCCACATCCCCCTTGGAATAATGAGGACTTTGCTACTGTATAAATACCTTGCAAAAACACTGCCCTGTGCAGACATTCAGAAGATAAAATCCCTGCTTATTGCCTGTGCATTATGAGCTAAACATACCCTCAGTTCTTTGATGTTGATACAAATCCATTACAATGGCAGGGCAGGAACAGATTGTAGGTAGAAACTTGGCTCACTTTCCAGCTTTTCCCTACACTGTCCCAACCACATGGTTACACTGAACTGAACTATACAGAGAAAGAACCATATGAACCATTTGTAGAAAATTTATTTCATTTATTTTCTCATTCTTTTGAGTGTTTTTTATGAGTGTGTCACTATGATACTGCATTTGTCAAATTACAATTGTCCAGCTGTCCAGCTGTTGTAGTGAGAAATACCTCTCTATGCAAATTGAACCCAGCTATAAACTTCAACCTTTCCAAAGATTGCTAGATAATTTCCAAAGTGTTGTCAGAAAATTGCAAACTTTTTCAATATGGCTTGTACATTTAATATGCAGTTAAGTTTTGAGACAAGGTGGAAAGGAAATTCAGTTGATTTGATTCAAAATGTGGCTTAGTTATCACAGTATATAAACCAGTCTACTTCCTGTTCTCGCAAGAAAGATACGAGTTAAAATTTATAGGCTCCCAAGAAGGGTACAGTGATTGGAAATAACATGTGCTTGTACTCGCAAGACAGGATACTTATTTAATTGTATAGGCTAGCAAGATAGGGTACAGTGATTTCCTTTATATACAGTGGTTATATTTTAGCACTATTTGACCTATGATAAAAATTCCCTCTCATCAAAAACACACACATCAGTTTCATTTACATATACAGTCGACTCCGGTTATAACGAACTCAATGGGACATTAAAATATCGTTCGTTATATCCGAAGTTTGCTAAAAGCGAAATAGCAGCAACTTGCTGACTTGTTTGGATGGGGTAATTTGCCGTGAAAAAGCCATACTCTTCTCTGGTTACCGATGTAACCGGTATTTACTTCAGCGGTTATTTAATGCGATGCATTTAATTGAGCAATATATCGTGTACATGGTACAAGTATTTATTCATGTATTAATTGTCTATAAAGTTCTTACCATTTGTTTTCTTTGTTTATTATCCTTTGGTTAATATTTCAAACAAAAAAATCGATTATTTGGCAATTACAGGTATTTACAGCAATCAACTTAGGGTGTGAAATACAAATTTTCCGTCACAAGTAGGAAATTATATTGTGAGAACATTTTATCAAAATCTTTATTCCCTGAAGCCATAACTAACTTGTGCAATCATTCGATTGTTTAATTATCAGATATCGTTATTCATGTACTGATCCTAATCGAGCGCATCCCGATATTTCAAGTATACCAGTTTATTATAACCGAGGAAATTTAAATGTTTTCCGTCATTTGGGGCTTGAAAAAATGGTTCGTTATAGCCGAAAATTCGTTATAAGCGAGTACGTATTAAGCGATGTGATTTAATATAAAATAAAGAAGGAATCGGCCGGGGATGTCAGATTTAGTTCGCTATTAACGATAATTCGTTATAAGCGAGTTCGTTATAAGTGGAGTCGACTGTAATATGATACAATGTATATCTTACTAAACCATGTGTGTCACATTCCAGAGAAAGGACAAAACCCAGCATCTCCTGTTGTACAACCAGATCCTGGGGGTATTTATGAATTGGCTAAAGATATTACAGGGTTGAAAGAATCTGGGAAATCTGACAGAAAGGGTAAGTACTGAGGTGAAAGGTTTTAGGTGTCCTCATACTTTAGAATTCCTGTCTCATTTATGAAAAACAATATATGATATAGGTTATGAGCGCAAATATGTTGGGGAAAAAACAAAAAAAATAAAATGAATGTGAGGCTGGTGGTATGCTCTTAAAAACTTAGATTTATGTCTAAAACATAATTTCTTATCATTGTTATTTGTTGTACTTATCTTTAGGCTGAAGTACAATAAAATTATGCTAACATTTTTTCTGCATGTGACATAATGCGCTGTTAAAGCATTACGCTTTAATTCTGTCGGAAGTATAGATTTACTACATGTATGTCTCTTACATATATTTTACATATATATGACAAATGACATTGAATTATTCATAAACAATGTTAATCATAATGTTTAGACCTAGATATATATATGACTAGATGTAAATGATGCCGTATTTTATGCTCAATTGTTGTTATTTTCCTGCTTGTTTTGTTAATGTTAAAAATAATTGAAAGCAAGGAAGATATTTTAGTTGTTGTAAGGAAAACAACCAAAACTTTAAATTGTATTGAGGTTTTGCATTATAGGATATTAAGAGTTTAATATATTTTTAGGGATAAGTATACAGGTAAATACACTAGCAATACACAATTGTTACTATACGCCCATTCTCAATAAAATAAAGCATTTGAGGTTGAAAAATATTAAAAATTTGATGTTGTCATTGTGTCATTTTTTATCGCTGAAGTAAATGTTTAGGGTACTTTGCAAGTTTGCCAGAAATATTTTGAACAAGAAACTATGATATAACAGGATGGCATTTATTTCGGTAATGACACTGTATTTCATCGGTAACGTAGATTTCAGATCTAATAATGTAACATATTGGCTCATATTAATAACAATTGTCTGTAAAATATATCAAAATCTGTAAATTCTCTATCTAGAGGGACTTTCTAACCCAGGAAAATTCAAAGAAGTTGGGTACCTTGCTAATTTTCAGTCAATTTCTTCAAAGTTAAATATTCGTAGAAAGCAAAAATAGTCAATTTTGAAAATGATTATTTTATGTCTTCATTCAAAGGATATATATCATATATAATATATGAGAGGTCGAATGCATACACAATTTTTGTATTAGCAATTTTTTTTCTCAAAAATATTCAACTTTCCACTTTCTTAATATTTGGGAAAATTTAGTACTAAACAGTTCGATATTTATCCCCATATAGGATGTCACGTATGTTTCATTTTATTCAAATGCAAGTCAAGGTTGAGAAAACAATTTTATTTTTTGTAAAATAATTTATATTTATGGATATTATTTTAACATTATTATGTATAGAATGAAATACGGCCAGTAAGCTCTTTGCAGAAAGGAATAAGTTGTTGCTGAGAACATCAATATCTTGTAATATATTTTTAATATTTCTGCTGGTACATCAACATATTATTAACATATCTTTCCTTTGTAAAAACAATTTTGTGTCTTCTTACATCTAATACAAGGTTTACCGTTATTAACAGGCATGCTAATCCCAACTTTATCTTTTAATTTTCAAAATTGTTGAATTGTAAGTTGGAGTAACGTATGTTTCACACTCGCTTATTTATGAACTTTATCACGGAATTTAAACTTACATGTAAAATCGACTTTTTTATTTAGGAATCAAATGCACATCATTCTATTGTCATAAAAATGCGATTTTATGTTTTTATATATGCATGTGTAAACAATATAAAGTCTGTTTGATAAAAGTAACGTTTGTTTCACTGTGGTTACTTAAACAAGTAAAAACACGATCAAAGTTAACAAAATTTACTTACTAATGTCAAATAAAAGTTAATGTTGATGTTATACGTGCTTTCTGACTTCAATTTCCCTTTTGATAAACTTACTTTAAAAAGTTGATAACGTATGTTTCTGTAACGTATGTTTCATTTTTACATTGAAAGCGGGTTAAAAATGACGCAAGACCGTTTAAGCCGCCATAATTTGTGGTTAATATATCAGAGTTACACACATGTTAATATTCTTTCTTGTTTGGATTCTTCTTTGAATGGATTGGCTCTTAAATAATGGTAACGTATGTTTCTTTTTAAAGTGCTGTTGAAAAAATTTGAATAAAAAATGAAAATTTCCGAAAATAGAATGATATTTGAGAGGCTGCAAGCTTATTTTTACTTATAATTATATATATGCTGTATTGCTAAGCATGCATCGATTCAATTATGTAATTTGGGTTTCACTTCTTATTGTTTTAGGTTTGTCACTATTTATTTATATGCATTTGGCGACATTTGATCATTCATTATACCAATGAGATTTTAACAGTCAAATATAATTTTTACCAATAATCAAAGTGCATATACACACAGCAATGACTAATTGCACATGTTTCGTTTATTCTGGAACTTATTTTTCTGAAACACAATTTCAAAGTTGAAAATTCTAGGTGGCGACAGTAACGTATGTTACATTTTAGGGCATCAATGGTACTTGTAAAAGAAAAATAACAGATAGAAATGTAAAACTGAGAGTGTCCCTATTAGACAAAGTGGCAGCCACCTTTCTAACGACATTTTGACCTCAAGAAAAACCTTCGTATAAGAGCTACCCAGTGGAACATCAAATGCTGTGTTTTATTGAGAATGAGCGTATAGGCAAAAATTCCAGCGACAAAAATCATGCATATGGAAAATTAACATTAATCTTCTTTTGTTATACCCCCAAAAACGAAGTTTGGGGGGGTATATAGGAGTCACTCGGTGGTCGGTCGGTCGGTCGGTTGGTCGGTCGGGCGGTCGGTCGGTCGGTCGGTCGGTCGGTCCAGACGTCCGTTGCATTTTCCTTGTCCGGAGCATAACTTGAAAACTAATAGTTGGAATTCAATATAACTACATACAATGGTCAAGCACATTGAGAGGAAGTGCAGTGCACAAGAACCATAACTCTATCTTGACTAATTACAGAGTTATTGCCCTTTGTTACTTTTCCTTGTACGGGGCATAACTTGAAAACTACTGGTTGGAATTCAAAACAACTTCATACAATTGTCAAACACAATAAGGGGAAGTGCAGTGCACAAGAACCATAACTCTATCTAAAGTAATTACAGAGTTATTGCCCTTTGTTGTTTTTCCATTGCTTTTTTTTTGTCCGTTGCATTTTCCTTGTCCGGAGCATAACTTGAAGACTAATTGTTGGAATTCAATATAACTACATACAATGGTCAAGCACATTGAGAGGAAGTGCAGTGCGTAAGAAACATAACTCTATCTTGACTAATTATAGAGTTATTGCCCTTTGTTACTTTTCCTTGTCCGTGGCATAACTTGAAAACTACTGGTTGGAATTCAAAACAACTTCATACAATTGTCAAACACAATAAGGGGAAGTGCAGTGCACAAGAACCATAACTCTATCCAAAGTAATTACAGAGTTATTGCCCTTTGTTGCTTTTCCATTGTCTTCTTTTTTTGTCCGGACCATAACTTGAAGACTAATGGTTGGAATTCAATATAACTACATACAATGGTCAAGCACATTGAGAGGAAGTGCAGTGCATAAGAACCATAACTCTATCTAAAGTAATTACAGAGTTATTGCCCTTAATTACTTTTTGATTGCTTTCTTTTGTCCGGACCATAACTTGAAGACTAATTGTTGGAATTAATTTTAACTTCATACAATGGTCCAGCACATTGAGAGGAAGTGCAGTGCACAAGAACCATAACTCCATCTTGATTTATTACAGAGTTACTGCCCTTTGTTTCTTTTCCTTGTCCAGAGCATAACTTTAAAACTACTGGTTGGAATTCAAAACAACTTCATACAATGGTCAAGCACAATAAGGGGAAGTGCAGTGCACAAGAACCATAACTCCATCTTGACTAATTACAGAGTTATTGCCCTTTGTTTCTTTTCCATTGCTTTCTTTTGTCCGGACCATAACTTGAAGACTTATTGTTGGAATTCATTATAACTTCATACAATGGTCACGCACATTGAGAGGAAGTGCTGTGCATATGAACCATAACTCTATCTTGACTTATTACAGAGTTACTGCCCTTTGTTACTTTTCCTTGTCCACAGCATGACTTGAAAACTACTGGTTGGAATTCAAAACAACTTCATACAATGGTCAAGCACAATAAGGGGAAGTGCAGCTCACAAGAACCATAACTCCATCTTGACTAATTACAGAGTTATTGCCCTTTGTTACTTTTCCTTGTCCAGAGCATAACTTGAAAACTACTGTTTGGAATTCAGTACAACTTCATACAGTTGTCAAGGACATTAAAAGGAAGTGCAGTGCACAAGAGCCATAACTCCATTTTGACAAAATACAGAGTTACTGCCCTTTGATACTTTTCCTTGTCCGGAGCATAACTTAGAACGTACTGGTTAGAATTCAAAACAACTTCATACAATGGTCAAGCACAATAAGAGGAAGTGCAGTGCACAAGAACTATTACTCTATCTTCAGTATTTATAGAGTTATTGCCCTTTGTTCTTTTTCTTTGTCTTTCTGGACTTATTACAGAGTAATTCAATTAAACTTCATCAATGGCCAACCACATTCAAAGGAAATGCAACATATATGAACAACAATTATCTTTAATTTCCCACAACCATAACTCTATGTTTCAATTCTTTTAAAAGGTATTCTGTTACTAGTAACATCCTCATTTCCGAAGCAGACTTGTGGGGGTATTAATCACATTTAGTGATAGTTCTAGTTTTTTTTATAGAGATATTTTTGTGTTTAATGTTACATAGGAATAAAAAACCTTAAGTTATTTGTCACATCTTTTACATGTACATGTATATAGTTATATTGAAATTCTTTTTGGTAAAAAAAACATGTTGAATGTTATTCTGTTGTCATTAATATTAGAAAGGTTGACATGAAAGTGCATTCTTCTTGTAGAATGAGATGATATTTTGTTATATACATTGTAATAAAAATTGTAGGTGTTACAAGTGATCATTATAATCATCTAGATGATGTCAAAAACAGACTTACTAGTGCTAACATTTCTGACCAAAAAAGTTTAGAAGAAAGATACGATCACATCAATTCGTGGTCAAAACGAACTGGTCCTTTAACCAGTACTGATAGCGGTACCGAACATTATATATCTGCTGAGTCATCCCCATTACGTAAGTGCTCTAACGTTTCTGACGATGTTTTCACATCAAATGTAGCTATGAATAAAATGTTACCTAATGAGTACCGCCATTTGCCGGCAAATTATGAGGAACCGTGGGATTCCGAAGAAGGACAAAAACGGTTTGACCGTTTAATAAATAAAGCGGAAAAGAAGCATGAAACAAGGAAATCTATTGATCAGACTAATAGTGGTGTCCCGAGAAAAAGTGTTGACCAGTCCGGAATTAAAATAAACACAGCTCAAACATCTGTCAACAAGACAGGTGGACATTATGAGGCAGCATGGGTAGGTGGGGCAGGTTCGAAACTTACACCAGTTACGCCACCATCTGTGCCACAGCAGCATAAACCAAGTGCTCCAGCAAATTATGAGGATGCCTGGGATTTACCAGAGAAACAGAAAGAGTTTGAGGAGAAGTTGTTGCAGGCAAGAAAGCAGAGAGCGAGTCAAGGTCAGATACGTGAAGATGACCAGGCTACAGGTGACAATGTGTCGAAACCATTTGCCGGCCCATCTCCACCATGTAAGATATATACATTTTTGTAAATTTATATATATTCTAATGGAAATGTGATCAAAATTATCTGACTTCTAGATAATCCATGTTACATTCTCATATACAACTTCTTGCAACAACATTTTCCTAAGAAAAAGAGTCTGTATTAGTAACTTAAATCAACAACGTTTAGTCATCAAATTCTTTAAATAGGCCAAAATAGTCATAATATATATTTGTTAAAGCTGAATGAAACTAAATTAAATGATATAAAGCATGAGTCATCAGACAGAAACTATCTCTACTGCCTCCACATAATACTTATTTTATACACCTCCGTTTCTATAGAAATAAAGTTTAAATTATGGAGTTATTTTATAAAGGACATTGATATGTTTTTTGCTTATATTTTCCAAAAGTTTCTGTTATAAAAAGTTATTTTATAAATTATATCAGTAACACAATAGCTATTTTTCTTTATTGTTCAAATTTTATCAGACCGTGAGAATTTATTAACTGTGGTAATGATAAGTGGTCCTTAACTTAGACCTCTTATAATTTGTAATGATCTTTTTGACTGTTTATTATTTAAAGTGATAGAATGTTCAGATTTTATATATAGTTCTAAACAGTACAGACAAGTCATTTTCAATAAAAATAGATATATAATTGTTAGAAATTATTGAATCTCAGGAAAAAACAATCATCTTGCACAGGCTATTTCCTTCTCTTTTTTTTTAAACTTAGATGTTTGAAGGAGAGTATCCATTTTTGAAAACATTTGAAAAAATACACTCTTTTGAATTCAATTTGAGAATGCAGTTTTTAGTGCTCAATTTAAAACTACAAATTTGTGGGCTAAAAGCATATCTAAAATTTTTTTAAATTACTTTATTTAAACAAGATGTTAACCCTCAACTCTGGGAGTCAAAAACGATCAACCTTAATTGTTATAGATCCAGGCCAGCCTGTATATGTATACTGTTGGCTGACTTCAAAATTTCATCTTGATATCCCTAAAGTTGACAGTGGACAGTTCCAAAGGTGGGAGCTAGACAAGTCCATTTTTTTAGTGTATTAAGAGTTGAATAGATTCTTTGACACAAAATTTATTACAGTATTAAGCATTCTTGGATTTGGTATTAAAGACAAATGTATATATTTATGTTTTAAAATCAAATTTCAGTACGTAAAACCCAACCTGATCATGTGATTCGGTCAGACAGTTGCAGGTCATTGGGTGCTCTTGCTGAAAAGATAGACACATCTTTACCTCTGGAGGAACAGGAGTATGTATACACAGGTGTTTTCTTTACATAAAATGATTCTACTAATGATAATAGAAAGTATATTCACTGAAACAGGTTTATTATGCCCCCAAAAAGTGAGGAGCATACTGGGTTAGTGTAGTTAGTATGTCTATGTCCATACATCCTTTGTTTGATTAATAACTTGATAAGTCATAAGCTTAATAACTTAAGAAGTCATAAACTTTAATAACTTGAAAAGTAATAAGCATTAATAACTTGAAAACTAAGTCTAAGTTTATGAAACAAAGTTTCTTTGATGTGGACATTGTCCTAGTCCAACAGATGTAATCCATTGATTTTTAGGTCAGTTGGTCAACAGTCACTGTGGCCTTGTCACTAAATGCTTATCCATGCTCAAGTGGTTTTTCAATGCAACTTCTGATTGAATATTTGTAATAACATTAGTGTCACTTTGGATATGTTTCCTCATTGTGGTGTATCTCTATCAGTACATGCAGTTATATAAACATGAAATACATACATGAAACTGTTTACAGGAAAAAACATGTTTTTGAGTGTGCCTTTAATTATGTTACAATTTTTCTGCATGAAAACCTTGAATGAGGAGTGCACTTTGTTTTTTTTTAAACAATTTTTTTTTATTTATTAATTATTATACTTCCAAATCATCATGTACTAATCCTGGGATTTTAATTTTGGATGGTCCACAAATCAACATACTTTCCTACCATGATGTTAAATCATCTGGATAATTTTAGGTATACATTTTTTATTTATTATATTTTCAGATTTTTTCATGGTCCTATTAAGAGATCTGCAGCTGAGCGAACTTTACTTGTATTCAAAGAAGGAAGTTACTTAGTGAGGCGAAGTGAAACAAGTAAAAAGGACTTCTCCTTAACTCTGAAGTATGTACTGTTGCGGTATATGTTTAGTACTCTAATTACATATAGGCAGAATGATCATAGTGTAATAGAATTTATTGAAATATTGCAAAATGTTAGAAAGTAATAACATTGGTGCCTGACATTGGTGCTGTATTTTTATCAATATGTAATTGAAAGGTTATTATAGTTCTTGCAGTTTATACACTAACAAATTTTTCATGGATGTTAAATTGTAATGAAAGAAGTCCTAATACACTTTGTGGACGTCCATATTTAGAATTATAAAAAACAAAAACAGCAAATGATAGTATTTTTAGCTTCTGGTAATTAATTGGTACATGAAATCAATAAGGTTACAATAAATATAAAGCATTACTTTTACACAGTTTGTACAATTTTTTTTATTTTTCAGGGGCTGGAATGGTCAGCCAATGCACATGAAGATTGCCTGTCGACCTGACGGAACTTACGTCCTGGGGGAAAACAGTCCTCCGTTCACCACAATACCAGACATGGTAGACTATTATACAACACACGAGCTTCCAGTTCAAAATGCTGACAGGATTTGTCTCCTTTATCCTATACCCTGCTGAGTTATCCTGTGTACCTTTTAAGATAATACTAGAGTTATCCAGTACCTTATAGGATAATACCTGATTTATCTAGTACCGTATAGGATAATACTAGAGTTATCCAGTACCGTATAGGATAATACTAGTTATCCAGTACCGTATAGGATAATACTAGAGTTATCCAGTACCTTATAGGATAATACTAGAGTTATCCAGTACCTTATATGATAATACTAGAGTTATCCAGTACCTTATATGATAATACTAGAGTTATCCAGTACCTTATAGGATAATACTAGAGTTATCCAGTACCTAATAGGATAATACTAGAGTTATCCAGTACCTTATAGGATAATACTAGAGTTATCCAGTACCTTATAGGATAATACTAGTTATCCAGTACCTTATAGGATAATACTAGAGTTATCCAGTACCTTATAGGATAATACTAGAGTTATCCAGTACCTTATATGATAATACTAGAGTTATCCAGTACCTTATATGATAATACTAGAGTTATCCAGTACCTTATAGGATCATACTAGGGTTACCCTATGCATTTTAGGATAATACCTATGTTATTTTGTACTTTTTAGGATAATTCCAGAGTTATCATGTACCTTTAAGGATAATATAGAGTTATCTTGTACCATGTATGATAATAATAAAATTATCTTGTACCTTGCTGAGTTATGACAAGTCAATTTATCCAAAAACTTTACAATACTAGTTACAGCAGTGTTACAGTTTAATTATGAATATGTCTTACCTCTCTTTGCCAAAGTTTGGTAGCCAAAATAACAACATATAAAGAAAGTGTTCCTCCGAAATTGCCAAAACTGCTTTACATGCTGAAGGATAATCACACATGTATATAGGTGATAGGGGAATGTTGATGTTATAAAAGTGATGATAAGTTTTGATAAAAGACTTACTCTGGAATTGAAAATAATTTAGCATTTCCCAGCTAAACCACTGGTACGAACAAACTTTAACAGTTACATCTTCAAATTTAGCACAACTAGTTGACTTATTTACTGTAAACTGCAGTGCACCTTGAAGTTAAAATGTAAAAGTTATTTTATACTAGGTGATTAGCTTGGAAAAACGGACATTTGGCAAGTTGCGGCAGATTATAAAGAAAAGGCGATATGAATTTGATATATGTTATCTTTTGAAAAAGTTAATAACATCAGCATATTTGAATAAATACATTTTGCATTTACTTCCATTAAACTTTCTTTTTTGCATTTGTTATGTTATGAGATATGAAAGTTGAATTTTATTTTGTATTATTTTTATTGACCTGTGACCTACTTTATTGTGATATAATTTTACTAGCTAGATTACTAATCCAAAAATAAATAGATTTTTCAATCACAACATGTGATGTGTTAAAATCATTTATACATGTATATAGTATAGTTTATTCTTTTTGTAAGAAGAGAGATTTATATGTGGGAAAGATATGAGTGTCATGACAAAACCAACATAATGGGTTTGCGACCAGCATCCGCACAGTCTGATCAGGATCCATGCTGTTCGCTATCAGTTTCTCCACTTGTAATAGGGTTTGTAAGCGAACAGCATGGATCCTAATCAGACTGTGCGGATGCGCAGGCTGGTCTTGATCCATGCTGGTCGCAAACACATAACGTTGGTTTTGTCATGACGTGGCTCAATTATAATTTTGGTCATATGTTAACAAGTTTGCATGGTTTATCATATTGGGTGTGTATATGAAGGAAGAAAATGATGTGATGTAAAACTGTGAAAGCCACTTACCTCCTCAAGTGAGATTGTTTCATACATTGTGGTTTATAAATTGTTTTTAGATTTATTCTTAGTCATACATTCTCTCAAAGAAGAAATTTTACGATTTATAGTACAATACAAATATAAAAAATGACTGTTTCATTGGAATCATTATCCATTTCTCGGAAGTTACAGAATCAAAGAAAAAAAAATATTATGACTGAAAATTAAGCAATATAAAAAAGTTAAATAAAGTACAAAAAATATGTTTTTTATGCCTACTTTATTCAGTCAGATTATTGAAAAATAATTGACATGCTGTATATGTATATTGAGTTGTTGACATTATCATTTAATTATTATAGTTTTATTTCATTTTTCAAATGTTTTGGTTAGATTATTTTACTTCAGCATATACTGAGATGCATACATTATTATGGGTGGGGGGGGGGAAGTTATATATATATGAAGCTACCCAAGTGTTTTGTGGCATATGTTTAGCCAGTTCATCTTCTTTCTGCTGACAATTTTCTGTCCTTGAGTCTCGTCTTTTTTTTTTTCTGTCACACTTGCTGTTTATTAAAGCACTTTGGTTTCAGATGTTTGGCTAGTTGTAACTTGGTTGAAGTGGAATTGGGACCATCCAGTCGTGTTACTAGTTTCTGTGTATTTATTGAAATGTTTATAACAAATTATTATTTTTACTTGTTGACAATCCAGTTGCATTTATTTGTTGCAACATTAAACAAGATGTTTGAATCATATGAGCCACGTCACGACAAAACCAACATAATGGGTTTGCGACCAGCATGGATCCAGACCAGCCTGCGCATCCGCGCAATGTTGGTCGCAAACCCATTATGTTGGTTTTGTCGTGACGCGGCTCATAATTATTTTGTGTTCATTGATGCATTTTTATATGTGCAATTTTGAAGTTTTATGTTAAAGAAATATTAACAATATGATAATTATTTTGTATAGAATAGTTTTTTTTTGGTAAAGTCTGATACTATAAAGATAATGAGACAAACAGTAATACATAGCAAGAAAGGAAACTAAAAAAAAAATTCAAATCTGGAATTTTATACTATCTAACTAAAATCAATAAAAATGGATCAAAAAGGCATAAAGCAGATACATTTTGTTATGAAAATTTCAATGAAAGAAACTAGAACCTTTTTTTGAGATTAAAATATTATATTACTGCTAGAACAAGTAAAGCCAAGGTTCAGCCAGATTAAATATATTCCTTAAAGCTGTTGTTTTATTTATTTTATTTTTTTTTAATACATAGCAAAATTTATACATATGTGTTCCACCTGCTATTGCATACTTAGAAAATACTGGTACCAATTTAAGAATCATTATGAAAAGTTTTGCTGTTATTTGTCTTTCTATTCAATACCACTGATGTTTAATATTCATTTACCATTTACCATTTAGGCTTTGCTTATATTTCATTTTAATTTAGCTTTGTGTATGTTAATGTTAGTAATTTTATTAAATTTAATAGAACACAGTATTCAGTATGTTGAAATGAGAGTAAACTTTTTAAAAATTTGTTATTTTGAAAATGCAGTCTAACTTGTGTATGAAGAATTTACAAAAAAGAAAAGAAAGTTTTTTTTGTCAAAAGATGCTCATTTGATATGGAACACTTACTGTTTTTTTTAAATAAACAGTTTGAAGATAAATGATGACTATGCTATAGCATATTAAGGTGTCTTAATTTGTGTACATAATCTTTTCTTATAGATGTCATTCTGATATGTTTGTCTGTACTTTGTTAAATGACAGCCTTTTTCTCTTGTTGTCTATCAATTCTGTCCTATATAGTGCAATCATTATTCATTTCAGCCATGTCATGACAAAACCAACATAATGGGTTTGCGACCAGCATGGATCCAGACCAGCCTGCGCATCCGCGCAGTCTGATCAGGATCCATGCTGTTCGCTATCAGTTTCTCTACTTGTTACAGAGTTTGTAAGTGAACAGCATGGATCCTGATCAGACTGCGCGGATGCGCAGGCTGGTCTGGATCCATGCTGGTCACAAACGCATTATGTTGGTTTTGTCATGGCACGGCTCATTTTTCTTGTGATATACTCTTATTAAACTGTAAGACTTTTTCTAACAGTTCTATATTTCTGTAGATATTTTCATGCAGTGAGTGTAAGCTATATTCTCTTATAACCATGAACAATTTTGTGATAGTGACACATCAGTTTATAAAGTGCCAGTTAGTTGTATGATATTCAAGTTAATTTACATGTACTTTATTTTTTTCTCTATGAGTACATGTATTAAACCAGTGACATGATCATGATACCTTTTACAAGCAAGTGAATGAATCATCTATATTGGTGAATAAATCAAGTTCATAAAGCATTTGTCTAATAGATATATCTACAATTGTATTATAATACAAAGGCTTGTTACAGTTGCAAAGTGTAAATGTTATTAACAAAAATTTGATATAATTTACAATCTTACTATTGTAAAAGGCACAAAAAATTTGTAAAATTATCATATTGATAACATTTTAATTTGCATTTGCTGAAAAAGGATGTATATATAATGTTAGTATTGATATTTTGTTCTGGCATTTGTACAATTGATGTGCATTCAAGCTTGCTTTTATATTTGTAAGGTTGGTTTTTATTGTTTCTAACATATATAATACATACATCAAGCTGGCAGTTTTGATTTACTGGTCACACAGATATCGGAACCAATATGGTAAAAGGGGAGACTACATGTAACTTTTCCAATTTTTCTGTATATTAGGAAGGTTAATGTTTGAGCATGTATACCGCCTCCGTGGTCGAGGGGTTAGAGTCGATGACTTCTAATCCAGTTACCTCTCTGGCGTGGGTTCCATCCCCGGGAGATGCTTTGGTAGTTTAGCGCGGAGGAAGGTAGTCTAGTACTGGTGTAACTCTCCAGGAACGATGGTTAGGAAACTACCCGCCTATATGACTGAAATACTGTTGGAAAAAGGCGTAAAATGAAACAAACAAACAAACAAATGAGCATGTATAATTATACTTTGCAGTAATGAAACATATATTTAACCCATAGCCTGCTGGCAGTGACTGAATCTACACACGTGACCAGTGCAGACCAAGATCAACCAGCACATCTGTGACATCTGGTCATGGTCTGCACTGTTCGAAGTTCCTCAATACTTGTTTTGAATTTTTTTCAAAAGATGATGATTTTTTTGTCCAAATTGAAAATTCATTTAAGATATTTAGCAAGGTAGGGGTTAAAGAATACTGGTAATAGAAATTATTTGAAGGGAATATATTTTGTTTTAGGAGATTATTTAAGGTAAAAATTTCATGAGTGTCCGTCCGCTTAAAATATTAATTATGTTTCAGAGTATAGTTGTTTGGTAAGGTGGTCTTTACATCTAATTAGTTAAAAGAATATGGGGTTTGTGAAAGTGAATGTAAGATATCTTAGTCTTCATACTAGTAGATAGAAGTGAGGAGGTCTCTTATATGCATACAAATCATAAAGTTTAATAATATTTTACGGCATATATAAATATACATCTATTCTTTTACATCAACATAATAACACAAATATACAAATAAAAGGGTTGGGCCAAATGTTTTTGCAACATTATCAAGGGCCCTTCCCTGTAATTGTTCTAACATCAGTATCATAAAGTGAAGCTAGATTTATATTAAAGTAAATACGCATTAAGTTACTATACATTTTCATTATCATACAGATCATAATATGTTATTTCTTTCCTCAGGTTATGATATGGGACCACTTTACATCTTATTCTTTCATTGTACTCTCCAATTTAATAAAACATATTATTAATACAATTTTGCATTATTTTTTTACAGTTATAAATGTTTATATAATGTTAATATTATAGATAGATTTAAAGGAAGAGGTTTTAAAAAAGAAAGGAGTAATGGAAAAGAAAGAAACAGCTTGAACGTTGTTGTTTTTAAAAAGGGGTCCTTAGGTTACAGGCCTATAATGTTGTTGTTACATAAGAGTTTTAAGATTTTGTTTAAAGTGCTGAGATTATTGCATGTTTGTTATATTTTTATGCTACTGTTTTACCAAATTACTAAATTACAATAATTATTATTGTTATAAATATATTTTTTTCATGTATGATGCCAGCCATTTTGGATGATTTAAGCCATGTTTGTTGTCAGCCATGTTTGATAATATCTTGTTCATGTACTTAACTTTTGTGGGTTTTTTTTGTATAAACATTTTATGTTATGTTTAGATTTGTATTATATATCCAAAACAAGAATTTCATGAAAATAATATGTTTTCTTGATAATTCTAAAATTGGATATTAAGGGGGAAAAAGTGGTGTACCAAAGGCATTTACTGGTGACTATTTACTGTTTTTGTACCTTTGTATATTTGAAGAATGTTTGCTATTGCATGTGGTTTTATAAATGTTAATTTTATCATGTTTCATTGAACGAAACAGGAATTTATTAACAACTTGTAATAAGTACATTATCTCTGTTCATACTAACTATGACTACTTATTAGCATTTAATGTCTTAAGTTTGAATTGTTGATTAATATAAGTTTATGTAAGTTGACCATGAATGCCTGTGAAGTGTCATTATGTACATGCTCTTATTATAAACTATTAAATTAACTATGACATTTTAGTTTGTTAATACATTCTATATATGAAATCAAACAAAGCTGTGAAATATGTGTGTGAAATAGTGTTATATTACCTTAATCATGATATTACCTTAATCATGTTAAGGATGGAATATATATTTGAGCACAGTCTGATCAGGATCCATGCTGTTCGCTTACAGACCCTATAACAAATAAATAAACTGATAGTGAACAGCATGGATCCTGATCAGACTGCGCAGATGTGCAGGCTGGTCTGGATCCATGCTGGTCGCAAACCCATTATGTTGGTTTTGTCATGACGCGGCTCATATATTTTATGATGTGATTTTTCTTAAAAGAATAACATAAGAGGTTAAAAAGATAAAGAATTTATTGTGAAATGTGTCACAATATGTATGAGTGTATACATTTAATTACTGTTGCTCATTTTGTTAATGCTTCCTAACCTTAATATTTCCATATTAACCAATGTTAAATCAAACAAAGACCTTAAAATACATGTACTTATTTATGTGTCTCTGGTGCTTATAACTTGAACACATTTTAAACCTCTACCAACAATATCTAAATAAAGTACACAAAATTCACCATGTTTTATATTGTTTATTATAAACAAAAACCAAGTATACAAATTCAGAACTACATTAAACGATTTAAAACAAATATTGAAATGTGAAAATTGCAGACTCAGTTTGATTGAAACTATTCATAACGGACAAAGGAAACAATGAAAAGCAAATAGCGTATATAGATGTTTGTGCATCATTTAATCAACTTTAATAACCAAATACCTTTCGTCTCTTAAATCAAATGATTTTTGAAATTTTACTCCCTGACAAACAGAAGTCACCCACCCTGTTGTAGGATAGTCCATCCGTTTCATTTTGATTGTCTTGGACATACCTTCATAATGATTTAGGGACTGTCTTGAAACATTAAAATCCATTTTAACCAACTTTTAACTCGACTCAAAGAAAACACTAGAGCAATTGCCATAGTGATTCTGCCGTGGTAATTGCCATTTGATATAATTATTTTATTATACATCACACTCGACGAAAATTGTAAAATCGGTATACTGCTTTAATTAAGGCTGTCCATCAGTCTGGTTGTCTGGCAGTCTTAGTGCATTTACTGAACCAATGTTTATAAAACTTGACTTGAAATCTTGCTGATTTGGGCCATAATAAGCTATTCAAATTATATTCCTAAGGTCAAAATTTGTGGCACGCAATGGTCTTATATAATTTTTTTTCAAAAGTAAGTTATATATAGGGACTAAAATATAAAAGGGCATAATAATGATATATTTGTTTGCTTGATTGGGTTTTACGTCACACTGATCCAGTATAGGTCATTTGGCGACGTTTCAGCTTTAGTGGTGGTGGAAAATCTCAAGTGCCCTTCCGTGCACTATTACAGGCACGAACGATTAGCAGAGTAGAACAACCGAAGTTCTGCTGTAAGCTAGCTGAATAACTTCCTCGCATGAAAGAATCCAAAGTCCCTGTCGTGATTTTAACCCGTAACGGTGATGGGCAAGTGGTTTGAATAATGATATAAAGATGTTCATATAAATATAAACATACATTTTGATTACATTTTTATTGATTTATTTATTTTTTATTTATTATTGTATTACTTTTTTTTGGGGGGGGGGGGGGGGATATTTTGTGCCATAGAATTAATAGCTAAAATATTAACTATATACAAAAATGCACGAAGGCTTACCTTTAATATACAACTCAAAATTTGCTAAGGATCACCTTTTTGACATTGCATATTTCAGTCCTATTATCATCATATTAAAATCATATTTCCGCTAACGATACACCTGTACGGGGACCTCATAATCGTGTACTTAAGTTATCGATTTGTCATGTACACCTTGCACGATAAGCACGTGGAAAAGCATACCCATGGAAATTTGGTGTTTTATGGCCATGTGCTTTCACTTAAACGTGTACAAGCAGCAAGACTTCTCTCGTTTTATTGTGAAACTGTGTTCGAAATTAACAAACTATGGCAAATCGACAGGTTAGAGGGTACTGGAATGTTGGAGGCTGGCCGTTCACAAAGGCACGTTGCCTATGTCCTTGGGGTATCCCAGATCGTTGTCTTCAGGATGTGGAACCAATTCCATATGAATGGAAATGTCTTGCAGGGCCACGCCGGAGGTCGGGACCGTTCAACGACTCAAGCCCAGGACCGATTTATTGTCCTTCAGGCAAGGCGCCAACGGTTCTCAAACGCTACGGCCTTACGTAACGACTTCCAGACGCGTGTAAGCACACAAACTGTTCGAAACAGGTTGCATGATGCTGGGTTGAGGTCACGGAGGCCAGCAATTCGCATTCCTTTGACACAACGCCACATTCAAGAGCGTTTGGACTCATGTCATATGGACAGTTAATGATTGGACCCCGGTCCTCTTCACTGCCTCTTCACTGATGAGTCAAGGTCTTGTGTGGACTTTACGGACAGACGCGCTAAAGTTTGGAGAAGTCCAAATGAACGCTTTGCTCCAGCATGAGTAGCAGAACACGCCCGTTTTGGCGGGGGTTCAGTCATTGTGTGGGCGGGAATAAGCGCTTAGTGGAAAACGGACCTACACATCATTGAAAACGGTACACTGACGGCAGTAAGGTACGTAAACGAAATCTTAGACGTCCATGTACGCACGTACGCTGGTGCAGTCGGCCCTGATTTCATTATTTTAGATGACAACGCCCGTGCACACAGAGCCAACATCACAAACCGATATCTTGAGGAGGTAACTATAGTCCGCATGGATTGGCCATCGAGGTCCACGGATTTAAATCCAATTGAGCATGCTTGGGATATGCTGCAGAAAGCCATTTCTTCACGCCATGTCCAACCAATAACAGTTCATGAGCTAAGATCTGCATGCAATCATAGAGGAATGGGCCCAGATTCCTCATCACAAGGTCTGCAGGCTCATCAGCAGCATGCGGCGGCGATGCAGGGTCGTAATTAATGCCCGCGGAACCCATGCTCGGTATTAAACACCCTACGCCAACCATTTCCTGATTTGCAAGATATTTTTCATTCCCAAAATGTTGATTTTCGTCCTGCACACTCTTTCCGCAACAGGCACACGTCAAGGAACACTTCCATTTTCATTATTTTCATAAAATATCAATTCCTAACTACTTAATATATTTAATTCCTTTAATCAATTTTCACATTTATTACAAATACACAAAGTAACGCACTGTAAAGTAAGTGACCCTTAGCAAATTTTGAGTAGTATATGATTGCAAACTTTCATTAATAACATGTTACTGTCAATATGATGCCTGATCTATATGCACATTGTCTGGAAATCGGTGTTAAAAGTTTAGTAGAAACATCGTAGGTGGATATATATATCTCACTCAGGAGACGTGCAGTGCACAAGAGTGATAACTCTACCCACTTCATAATTTTTGAGTTATTGCCCTTTGTTATTTTTCATCTGAGTGGAGCATAACTCAAAAAGTCTTTGAGATGTTAACATGAAACTTCATAGGTGGGTAGATCTTATTGAGGAGGAATATTTATAATATTTGAGTTATTGCCCTTTGTTATTTTTCATACTTTTTGTCTGGAGCATATCTAAAAAATTGTTTGAGGTATCAAATTGAAACTTCATAGGTGGATAGATCTCATTGAGGAGGAGTGCAGCACACAAGAATGATAACCTACCCTGCATTATTTTTCAGTTATCGCTCCATGTTATTTTTTTTTATAATTCCACAATGTAAAATAAAATTATATTGTGTGTCTTATATTCTCTTTGAGAGAAAAATCAGTTTATAAAATTATTAGAATTTGACTATCTGCGAGTAAGGAAATATCCGTTTTGAGTGATCAAGAAGTTATTAAAGTTTTTTTGTTGTTGTTTTATTATTTTATTTCTTATATATCCATTTCGAAATAAAAATAGCACACTTGTTGGTCCCTTATTCTTTCAACATTTAATTAAGATTTAGCAAATAATTGCTCTTTTTTATTTATATTTTTTCCACAATCAATATCTAATGTGACTCATGTATATAAAAGTAATAAGATCTAACATAAAAATTTTGTCGCTCAAAAAACATTTCCAATCAAATTGAATGATATTCCGTTTTAGTGGGCGCTGGGTTTTATACCTGTCCGTTTTATATCTCGCCTTCCGTTTTTAACATTTTTTTTTTCGCATATTTGTCCTTAATATCATTTAGTAGTTTGAAACCTAAAGTCAGCTGATCATGAAAACATAAACAAAGACGAAGAAAGAAAGTAATTGCGTTTTACGATCAAGATTTGTGTTGTTATTTTCAAAAATAATTAATTATTTAAGTAACAGTTAAGGAAAATACTTGATCAATATGTCAAATAATTTAAATCCTTCATGATTTCTTCCAACAATGTGTCAGTGACCACCTTACAAATTTTTTAATGTTGAGTTTCGTTCTCAATAATATTCGAAACTGAATTAATAGAAGGTATACGGTGAGATGCAATTTATAATTCTCCTGTGAAGCAAAATAGTTGATAAATCATCAAAATTATATATGTAATAGTGCAGTTTGTTTGTAATTAATGTATTATTCATATAAAATATTTGTTTGCTTTTACCTGCAATGACATTTAAAAATGTAAAGTACATAAAAGACATGAAACAGAAATAACTAGGGGACCAACAAATATAAGATTCAATGAATTCAATCTTTATTTAAAGTCAGTTCATATAGGACAGAAACATAGCATGGCTTGAAATTTTTCCAGGTGAGCCTTCATCTAGTTGTAACCAATTCAGTAGCCTAATAAATTTGGTGTGAACGGTTTGACCCATTTTACAGACTTTTTTCTTACTGTCAAACCGTTACGCCTTAGAAAAAGACAGCGCCCGTCCAAAATTATCTCGGTGTCTCTTTGATAAGTCTAATAAGTTGGACTACCAAATCGCAGATCAGTCTGTCTATGAGAATCTGACTTTTCAGATTCTAGCATTTTCTTGAACAGTTCAATACCCCTAGATATTTATACTTGAGAGACAGTGTATTGTCATCTGCATAGTTATATTGAAATGTTCACTGTTATATAAAATAAAAGATATCATTAAGGAAGATAATGAAAATCAGGGCACCCGGAATTGAGCATTTTGAGACACCTTTTATTAGGTGTATTAAAGCTCCTCGTCAACCTCAATGCCAACAAAGCTGCCGGCCCTGACAACATTAGACCAATTGTCCTGTAGGAGCTGAGAGAAGTGATTGTTGACATCGTTGCAGTTCTCTTCCAAAAATCCCTGACCACCAGTAATACTCCCAATGACTGGACCAGTGCAAACATATGTCCTGTCTACAAAAAAGGTGATACAAGTGATCCAGCAAACTATCGCCCAATTTCTCTTACTTGCGTCCTCTGTAAAACACTTGAACACATAGTTGCCTCTCAATTTTCCTCCCACTTTACCACCCACAACATACTCTATGATCTTCAGCACGGATTCAGAGAAAGACGATCATGTGAGACACAGCTCATTGAACTTACTGATTACCTTGTGAACAACCTCTCAAATGGCAAACAAACAAACCGCATACTACTTGACTTCTCTAAAGCTTTCGATAAAGTAAACCATCTTAAACTATTAGATACCCTTCAAGAACATGGTGTCTGTCCTCAAATTCTAAACTGGATACAGTCCTTCCTTATTGGCCGTAGACAGACAGTAGTTGTGGACTGCTCATCTGAAGTTCCAATTACCTCTGGAGTGCCCCAAGGCTCAGTCCTAGGGCCCCTCTCTTTCCTTCTATATATCAACAAGCTACCATCTTCTGTCCTTAAATTCCAAGTCAGATTTTTTACAGACGACACTGCTGTATACCTAACCATCAATTCCTCCACAGACCCTCCAACTTTCCAACATGATCGAGACAATATGGTTCTGTGGGAGAAGCAGTGGGACATGGAGTTTAATCCTTCAAAATGCCAAGTCATCCATATCACCAAAAACAAAACCATAATTAAACACAAATATATGCTCCATGGCCAAAGCCAAGTCGGTCTCAAATGCTAAATATCTCGGACTAGATCTGTCTGCTGACCTTAAATTTAATACACATATATCTTGAATAACTTCAAATGCAAACAGATCCCTTGGCTTTATTAAATGGAATGTTATTACCAAAATGAGAAAGTGAAAGAACTAGCATACAAGTCCCTGGTCGTGCCACAGGTTGAATATGCTTCACCTATTTGGTCTCAATACACTAAAACCAATATTGACAAAGTTGAGATGATCCAGAGACGTGCAATAAGATGGGTTAAAAGGGATTACTCCCCTCTCTCTAGTGTCACAGCCATGCAGTGAGAACATGGGCTGGCGAGAACATCGCAGATTGGACTGTAGATCTAGACTGATAAGGTTTAATAAGATAATAACATTACTTAGTTGAAATTTATTTCCAACCATATGTTCAAGCCCACATAGATTAACCAGACATATGCACCCCTTATCCCTTCGCCAAATACAGGTATCCTTCGACTACCATAAGTACTCTTTCTTCTCTCATAGCATTATACTATGGAATAAACTCCCTAGTAACATTGCCACCCTGCCCAACTTGAGTCAGTTCAAACAGGCAGTGGTGGGTTTGCAGTACAAGTCTTACTCCCAGTGTTTTTAAACTATTTTATCTCTTATCATCTTGTAATGTTTAACTATTAACATTTTAACCATGACTAGAATACTCAGTCTCACCATCCTAGCATAATAATATAATGCTTGGACTTTTCTTTCTTTAGCTTTTCTTTTCACCTTTTACTAACAATCCAACGTGCACTTAATTCCTGCCTTTAACACTCTAAGAGGGGTTGGCAGTATCCAGAGATAGATTATATGCTGCCATTGACAAGTTTCTTTTCCTAGTTTAACACATTGTGACCTTTTGGAGAAATAATAAAGTATAAGATTACATGATTTTTCAGATAACCTACATGTATACTTCTTACGTTTAAGGACTATTAAGCCGTGTGATAAGCAGTCAAATGCTTTAGATAAGTCCATTAATGATTCATATGGCACTTTAAAATTCATTTTTGTTTATCTAGAGCCTTTTTCCAGCCCCCATCTAGTCTTAAAATTATAGTTTTAAAGCCATATGATGACCTTAAAGCAGAGAGATAAAGTTAAAAAAAATCTTCATTGATAAATATGTATATATTCCCCATTAAAACTTGTAAAATCTCCATAAGTATTCATGTGTTATGAACAATAATTTGTGAATGCTTAATGAAGGTGCAAAACGGATAATGCATCTTATTATTACCTGTAATATATATGTAAATATGGGCCGAGTAACCCATGCCAAGTTTGTAAAGAGCCCAGATCTGACTTATTTTAGTTTTAGAGCTTATTCACAGCAAACCTCAAATATTCTCAGGCACTGACTAGTTTCGAGCAACAGTCTTCATAGTTAGGTGTACAGTCAACTAAAACTCTAGAAATTCCTCCAACAGCCTTGGCCTATACCTATAATTGCTACACCTCTTATATGGCAGACTAACTCTTCAATGGTCATTTGTCTCTTATCACTAAATTTAAAAAGCATTTAGGATCTAAAGTCAGTCTCTTGAGGAGAAAGGGATAATATCTGGTTATTTATCCAGCAAAGTCCAGGAAAGTCAGTTAGGTGGATCAGCTGCTGAGATCTTACTAAAATTGTGTTGAAATCAGGATAAAAAACAATGAACTAAACAAACAATCAACCACATAGCTAATTTGTCCCTGAACAGCTGGGAAATTTGTCCCTGAACGGCTGGGATTTGGGATTGTAATGAACAAATTTAATAACTGTTTTCCATTATAATGTTTCAGGTTCAAGTGTGTGAGATATGGGAGAACCAGCATTATATGGCTGTTTTGACCAGCCAGACAGCTTAGAAGGATGGGTAGCAATTAAAGAAAACCCATTTACTTGTAATACAATCCCACCACGTCTTTTGTTCCTTGTATCTTGGAATGAAGTAGATCGTAAAGTAGCAGTTACTTGCAGGTATGTTTACTTCTTCATCATGTAGCTGTAGTAGTAGTGATCATGTCAGGTCTTTTTTTACACCAACATGGAGCCAGACCTCAGTACTGGCTGTTAAAATGTCCTGGCATATTGTTTGTATCCAATTCTTGTCTTTAAGCAAACAACTTTTAACCTTGACCATGATTTGTTCATTGTTACAGCTAAAGAATTCATTCTTGGGCAATCCACAGTACTGGTTCAGAGATTCATTTTGACATAAATTTACTAGTATATGTGTAAGGAACTGTAACCATGACCTCTTTATGACTTTGAAATAAACGATCAAATGTTCATAAAGTAAATTTTATCTATAGATTTTGGACAAGGACATTGTTTTATGAGCTCATCTTGTTTTTGCTGATTCCTTTGACAATGTGCATGACATAATTATTAATTTAATAGCCATGTTTATAATTATATCATATTTTCAGATTGAAAAACCGTGTTGTGAGTGACACAGCTGAGCATCATGGGAGATCTGGGCTGTTCAGTTTCCAAGAGTTACGAGGAATTCATGATCTGTTGTGCCTTATTCATCCATCATTATCACCATATCTACCTGACCTTCCTGAAGAACCTTGGGGTCTCTGGGCTTATGTCAGTTATCAAGAAACCCCAGACAATATTGATGATATATGTGCATATTTAGAAAACACATACTTTCCTCTTGCATTAGAAACATGTAAAGAAAAGTTACTTATGGATACAATGTTTGAAGAACACTGCCAGGAAGAATATTTTGAAAATATAAGTGAGCTAAAGAGACAGGGTTATGATCAAACCATAAAGATAGCAGAAGAGGAGTTAAAGAACGTGCTCTTTGAACGAGAAAATGCTAGTAACATGACAGAAATGGCTGATGTTTACAGTAGGGAAGATACTGCTGTGTTCAAACTAAATGTTGCTCTTGCTGAGCTATTTAACTACCTTCTGCAACCTTTTCTGGATCTCCGTGAAGTGTCATGTTTAAAAGTAAGGCAAGCAAAATCTGAAATTCAGAATCCGGACAATGGTGAAAGATTACGGCGAGAATATTGTGAACAATTGATTGAGTGGCAACAACAATATGAGCAAGCTCTAGACATGATTCAAGATAACTACATGAAGTATTACTCCAAAACCAAAAAGATTTTAAAAGGTAATATATGTTGGTTATATTAAAAAATATTTGTTTAACATATAATATCAACTATATTGTTCCAAAATCAAAGTGCATGTTTAGATGAATGATAACTAATGAGTGCAGATTTATCTCATTTACTATACAAACTAAGGCAGGAAGTTAAAGGTGATTCAATGGCTCAATGATATAGTGTATTATGTTCATTTGTGATTTTATGCTGGAGGGCATGAACATAAATCCCATACAGAGTATAGTTTACTTTTGTATGTTAGTATTGTACTGAAAAAAAAAAACGATTGAATGAAATATAGCTTAAAATCAAAATGTATCAAAATACTATTATGTGGCATTAAGTGTGAATTGTTATTATGTCTTGACTTTTTCATTTGATGGGGGAGGGAAAATATAAATTTTAAATTGGCTTGTTAATCTTTTATATAATTTATATATTTTGCAGGAATCCTTGATAGATTGGAGGAAGATAGAAAACGTTTTGGCCAAATGTCTTTTCAACTTATTGCCCTAGAGAGATATTTCAGGTACAATGTTAAAGAATTGGTTTATTTCGGCCCATATCTTTAAGGTTTTTGTTTGATTTTGATGTTTTTACTTGTACAAAAATAATTATTGTGTTATTCTATATAAAAATGTGTTTCATTTCTGCCAATAATATAAATGGGTATTGATTTATTCAAGATTTAAAATGACTTTTCAATATATAGAAGCCAGAGGTTTTGAGTAAATTGTTCTTGGGGTGGTGGGAGGAGAAAGTGTGGATTGTTTGGTACATAATTATCAATACAATGAATCATTAGGGCTTTATTTGGCCAGACCTGGTGACTTTGATCATTTTCAAATAACTATCCACCAGATAGGCTTATTAAGGAGAGCCTTGGGTCTACAGAGCTTGGTTTAGCTAGTTGAGTACTACACATAACATAACATATATACTTCCTGTAGTGATTTGGTTAACTGCTAGTTGTTGTATCCATCCTGTAATGCTGTTACCAATGATTATTTCCTAATGCGGAAGTGTCTGACTCAAAAAGATCAATAAAAAAGTATTATACAGATTCTTGATACACTTGCTAGGTTAATACCTGCTTGTTTTAATTAGCTAAAATATATAGCACAAACAAAAATCTATAATGTATCACAAAACCATAATCTGTCTCTGTCTTTTATTCTCAAATTGTGGATTCAATTTATCATATTGTTGAAGGAGTGATTTCTGTACCTGGGTAAAAGCTTGTGTCAATCTGACTAAAGTTCAGATCTACTTATTTCTTCCATGTAGATCTGATGACGACCGTATATGTTTCGCCTTCTTTATAATTCGGATTTCCTGAGAAAGCTATTTTTAGCCATGCAATCAAACCAGTTTTTACAGATAGGCATTAGAAGAAGTATCAAAATACCGTTATCCGTGGTAGTTAAAGAAATTGTTTATTTTTGTTAGAAAAAATGTTTGAAAATAATTTTGAACAATTAACTTATATAATAAAGTCAATTTTAAGGGCAAGATAGTTTTGCCAGTTTACCTGACGTCTGTATAGACAACACCATGTTTGTTCTCGATATTGTGAAAATTACCTACTCAGTAATGGTTTTCCAAGGGTTAAAATTGGAAACCGCATTGCTTTCAAAATAATGAAAGCTCGCCAAAGATTGGTTGTTTGAAAGACCACGAGAAGGTGACTGCCTATGGGTGAATGTTAGATCCTAATGCGTAGCGTAATTTAGGAGCTGATTTTAATTAGATTGAAGCTTGTGTGTGTGAAATAATAACTTATTAAAGACATTTATGTTATAAACTCAAATTTGCAATCATTCTTACTTTTCAGGGTCAGAGAAGATCTTTCTTTAGAAAATTTACAGTATCTTCATAGCAAAAAGAAAACATATGTTCAAGAAAGGGATAAAGTTAAAGAAATGGTATTTTGTTTACTTTTATTTGATATTATAGAAAAAGGATAATTTGATAATGTTATACATGTAATTAAGAATTAATAAATCAATCTTTTTTCTGTAAGAGAAGAAAATAAATTTTGTTATTTTCAACAATCTTGTGTTTTTAACTTTTTAAGTATTTGAATATTAGTTTCTGTAATTCTTTTTTCGAAATATGATTATAATGTAATATGCAAAATCCATCATAAAATTTAGCAGCTATATGATAAAATAACTTTTATCAATTATATTATTATTTAAAAGGGACTCCACTGAGGGGTTTTTTTTTACATGAAGGAATTTCATTTTTTTTTTTACATTAACGTCCCATTTGATAAAGGTCTATCTTGTGCGCAAAATTTCAGATCATTCTGTCACATCGTTTTATCAGGAAAAGTATTCTAAATGTGTAGAATTTTTCAAAAATGAAAAGCGTTGCAATGCTTTTTGCTAAAATCAGGCTAAAAATAGCACAAAAATATGATTTTAAATATATTTCTAACTTATATTTTTTAATTATCTTTTGCATATTGTTCTGTTTAAGTGCCCTAGCTAATCGATGTAAGAAATAAAAATTTAACGTACTTCATTGAAGTTCCTTTAAGTCATCCACATCATTCTATTCTACTCATATCAAGTCTAGCATAATGATTATGTCTGTGATCATAGTTGTTATTGTTCAAGATCCATAACTCTAACATGGATCTCACTGAATTATTCCCCTTTGTTAACCAAAGAAAATGTCTGCATGTCTATTGCTTGACTATAAAACACTGAGAAAAATTAGTTGCACAGACTGCCTGACAGTTGTTGTTACATAGCACTGTTCGAAGTTAATTTTTTTTTTATGAGGTGAGAACAGTACATTATATATTGATATTTAGCAGCAAATTATGCCTTAATAATATAAATCTTTAAATGTGTTTATTTGTTGTTGTTTATAGATTGCAAGCATGGAGGAGAAGCCAGGAATTAAGGGAGAACTCATGAGATTAGAAAACCAGACGTTTGAATGGCAGGTGAAAATATATGACCTTCACCTTGATATTCTCCGGGAAGAAGAAATACTTGTCAAAACACAAAGAGATGCAATCACTAGGAATATTCAAGGTATGAATATAGAAATGTAGGAAGCTAATTTGAATAAACATAATACTTAAACGTTTAACTTAAGCCTTGAGTTTAAAGAAAACTGTTTTTTAACAATTTTTTTAATGGACTTGTCCAGTATTCATTTTTTGGGACTGTCCATTAATGAATTTGGAAATATCAAGATGAAAATTTTAGTTGGTCAGCCAACAGTATGGAGCCTGGAATGACTCCATCGATATACAGACTGGCCTGCAATACACTGATAAAGGCTAATCTCTTTCCATTCCAGCAGGGTAAGAATGAAAATCATTGTTCAGTCAGCTGTATGACTAAATTACTGATGCTGTTTGTTAAAAAACATGGTTAAGACTCAAGTAAGGCTCAAATTATTATACACTAGGCTACTTGCTCCTCAAGAGACTTTTAGCGTAGTTATATATAGTCATGTTACAAATCATATTTACAAATACTAACCAAATAATATTTTTTCCTTGACAATTTGTGTAGAGGAAGTATGCTATTTTGTCCTCCTCTTTGAAGATGACATTAATTGAATGATAATACATCTATAGACATTCTTCAGGTGAATGCCAACCATTTGTAAGCTTACAATGTTACAATAAAGTAGAGTTGTTACCTAGTAATCAAGGTGTTTATATCACAACCAAGGGATAATACATGTATGTGATGCTAGTGACTTGACAATTTTACTTCCTATGATTCCAGCACTGGTTAGTTCCAGGAAGGGGAGTCAAAAATAATTCAAACAAGCTACAAACTTTCTTTACAATTAAACTTAAATAAATTATGCTTGAATCAAACTTGTGATGTTACTATCTGTTGGCAAACCTAGGTTTAAAGCTTATGACAAAGTGTTATATTGTAACTGCAGTGGAAGAGGAGCGTGTTGTATTTTATGATGCTGTAGAGGATGTGGAAGAACTCAGCTCTGAGGAAGAACTTCCCTCTATGATGATTACTGATCCACGACTGAAGGCGTTAAATAATAAATTGAAATCTATAAATACACGTAGAGCTAAACTCAGGAATAAAAGAGTAAGTTGTTCATAAGATGATTATTCTTTGCTTGAAGTTATTCATATACTAGTATTTGTTTAGGAGAGGAAAATGGAAACCAAAACTCCCAGATTTTTAACTAAAGATTTGTTTTTTGCTCAACTATTATATCTACATAATAGGTAGAGCTATCCTACTTACATTTACCTGGGCATTTGCATCTGTGTTACAGTTTTGAAGAAATTTGGTTATTAAGTTTACATATACCAACTACCTTTTTTCGCTCTTTGAGGGTTTACTTTGAAACTTTAAATACTTATAAGTGACCATAATCCCCACTACCAGGTAAGAGGACATAACTTGACTCTTAATTAAATTTTTTCTGTACCATCCCACTTATTTCCTATACCAGTTTTAGTACACCCTTTTAGGTTGTACCTTCAAACTCAAGGTAATTGTTAGTTACCTACACCCCCAGTTTCAGGCAAGAGACATAAATAATTCAACAGTTTTGTCAAAATTATGCCCCCTTCTCTGCTTTAAATTTTGGTTATGGTTTTTTAACTAAACCACTATAACATAGCCCTTCAAGGCATTTCTAGGAATCTTAAATATTCCCATTTTTCCCAACATAGTTAATTTTTATTTCGCTTAACTTATATTGACCTGTGGCTGTCCTCTCTTAATTGTAAAGTTATTAAAGTATAGTATTGCATTATTACACTTCAAGACCAGTTTTTATTCTACTAATGTATACTAATAGTAGTTCAGCACAATACCTTACCAACAATACCACACTTGTTTTATTTTCTAAAAAAAGGCCTGCCAATATATTAATAAATATCAGGATCGTTATTGAAATTACAATGATAAGCAGGGCTTTTTTACTACTTTTCAATACAAAAACATTAGTTACAAAGTAAATCTATAAAAAAAATTGTTTCTTCAAATTACCTCATTGAGTCTAACTCATTAACATTGGGTATTACAAGCCATGGACAGAAGTAATTCACCATCAGTATTAATTATTACTATAATTCCTACATACCCAAATTTTAATATTAGTTTAATATGAAAGAAATGTGCTTGTTTGACATCTTTTGTAATCTACAGTATGATTGTGCTTTATGGTGTTTTGTTGTTGTTTTTCAGGCAAATCTAAATTCAAAAATTCAAAACAAAGAACAGACAAAAAGAGAAGTTGAGGAAAAGTTTAAACAGCATCATTCTATTCAAATAGTAAGTAAATCATTTGTCTCAAAACATGTATACTTCATAGATGTTTTTCTATAGAATATCATTACAGTATATGCTTTATAATATTTGAATAAGCAATGTAGATGCTTATTACCAATCTCCAGGCAGTGATCTCCCCTTAATGCTTCGGCGTAGATCTCTGCCTTCAAAGACGTCACATGATGATGAAAGTCACATGACGTAACGTCGAAATTCAAATGTAAATATCGACCGTTACAAAGAAAATCTAACGTTATTTTTCTCTTTCTGTTTTATTTTTAACTTTTGGTGCCTACGTTCGATATAGTTTATCAAAAAATTATCGAAAGTATACAAAATAATGAAAAATAAATTAAAAAAGCTAAAAAATATAAAATATCAAAATATCGACTCGGTAGAAAATAATCTCATAATTTTTAAAATTATTTCTAAATAATTCATATTATTTATTTATTTATTCATAAACATTTGTTAAATAAATGAGAGAAACTTATCTGATAGATAAAAGCAGTAGATAAAACAGTTTTTGAAAAAATATAGTATATCAGAAATTCTGATATATCGGGACCTTGGTGGCAGAGATCTACGCCGAAGAATTAAGGGGAGATCACTGTGTGGAGATTGGCTTATTACATGAAAAAGTAGTGCTGAATGTAAAGTAAGTTGTCGTTAATGTAGCAAAATGTTAACAAATTAGTATTTTGACATCCATGCAAAATACTAAATCATAAATTTACTAATGGTCAAAAAGAAAATCAATCAAAACAAGGTTCAGAGATATGGCCAATGACAAAAGAATTAGTTGATTGTGTATATACAAGAAATACAAGTATTTTATTGATCAATTAATAAAGGAATATAGATAATGTGATAAAATTAATATGTTATGATATAAAAATCATATATAATGGTATGGTAAATGTTTCAGAAAAGAGATATGCAGAGAGAAGAACTAGAGAAGAAACAAGACTTTATACACGATGAAAGAAAGAGAACAATAGATAGATTGAAAACATTCAAAGTGGTAAATCTTCTCTCATATTGTGTGGTTGGGTTTTAAGTCACACCAAAACTCATGTCAAATTTACAGTTTTACTGGTGGAGGGAAAGTACATGCCTCATTGTGAACCACTTTTGCACTAACAGTCTAAAGGTTTTATTCTGACTTTCTAGCTTTTCTGGTGAAGGACAAGTTTAGATCCCCCACTGTGAACCTTTGCCCTTCTGTAAGCTAACTGGATAGCATCTTCACAATCTGTGGTCAGATTTGAATGTTTATTGTCTTTAGATATTGGTGATATGCTATTTCACCTCTATGGAAAAGGATTTCCATAAGCTTTTATGTATTAACAATCCAAGGACAAATGCAGATAATGAAATGCAGTTTTGTAGTAAAACTACTCTTGTAATTGATAAGTTTACTTTATTGGTTGATTTAAACTTTATAAAGATGTTCAAAATTTATCAGTATTTGAATCAACATAAATCTCTCAGCTCATTCTAACATTTGTATTTTACACTAGTTACATGTACAATTACAAGAACATGAAGACATCATAAAAACAGGAAGACAACATTACTTTAAACAATCTTAGGTAGTGTAATACCCATGCAACATATGGTTACAAGGAGTAAACATCATTTATGAGACTATCCAGCTAGCTTACGGAACGTCGGTGGTTCTACTCAGGTACCCGTTCGTGCCTGAAATAATGCACGGAAGGGCACCTGAGGTCTTCCTCCACCAGTAAAGCTGGAATGTCGCGATATGACCTATACTGTGTCGATTTGACGTAAAACCCAAAACAAACAAACAAACATTTTTGAGAACAAACATCTGTATTATTTTACAATGATATAGCATGAACTTAAATCACAGAAGAACATTTTCAAGCTATTCTGGGCTAATTAGTATTAGGCTAATTATTGTGTCTTTATTAGGTAAATAGGCACTTGAGTTAAACATTTTTATTTTCCTCATTACAGAAATACCCTACTCCAGCAACAATCAAACCTCCAAGATATCAGCCACCTAGTCAAAAAGGAGCAAATGCTGCCCCTCAGACAACCAAAAACTTATCAACAATCAGAGAGAAACCTGCTGCAAAAACAAACTCTGAAAAAACTATTAAAGTTCAAAAAGTTAAAAACTCTACATTTAATAAAACAGAACGTAAACCTGTACCTAAACCACGTGCACGAAGTGGAGATAATATAGATGGTACAGACGATGTCCCTGTCACTATATATGTTAAAGGTTCACCTGAAGCGGGAGGAGCTTCTGGAGCTGTTAACACCTCCAGTGCCCCGCCTCCTCCTCCTGTACCAACTTCTGTACCTCCTCCACCACCTGGAGTACCACCGCCACCGCCGCCCCCACCTCCACCACCCCCACCTCCTGGCCCGCCCCCACCAATGACATTGCCTGTTATGAAAGTGAACAGAGGAAAGAAGGAAAACAGTCTTCAGGCACAACAAAAGGGAAACAATGCAGATAAGACTCCAAATCTTCAGTCTATTCAACAAGGGTTGAAAGGGCTCAAACCTGCTTCTGAGAGGCCTGAAAGACCTAAAGGTTGGTTTTGCATGCTTTATTATGATTTGTTGTCAGTATCATTGTAAGTATACTGAATTTTAGAAAATGTATTGATACTTGCTGCATGTCAGTGTTGTTTTATGATTTTACTTGCTGTGTTATAAAGTTCTTTAAAGAGACATTATGCCCTTCAAAGTGTAAATGTTGAGAGTATAGGTAAAAGTCAAAATAAGTTTACATTAAAATAGGTTTATACCCTTTAAAGATAACACACACACATGCAAAAATGTTTTTTAAAATGGCCTTTGAATAGAATCTTATACTATTGCATGTTTGTAACTTGATTTTCATCAGATAGTTGTGGCATTCATATTGTCTGTATTTATGAATTAATGTTTATTTCAATAAAATTAAGCAGTTTTTCACTATTAAAATGTCCTAACTAAGACTTGACCGGTTATATGGCTGTTTATTGATAGTGGTTCGCTATGTAATCCTTAATTAGCAGTTTGGATTATATAACCATTTATATGTGGCTATATAACCTGTCAAAGGTCTTACATACTAATAGTATATCCATGGACAAGTCATACAATATATCATATTATGATATAAACAATTAACAAAGTAATTACAGGAGAGTACTAAAAGTAGGTATAAGTTACAATATTAATACTTGAGATAAAGATGTATTTTAGGTCAATGTAGTCATATAAGTGGATTTAGCAAGCTAACTAGTTAGTTGTTCTATTAGCCAGGAACTGTTAGTACATGAAATAATGCTTAATGGAGTTCTCTGAGTTTGCTGAATCGATAAAAGCTGGAGGGAATCAATTTCAGCCATGAAACACTGCTGCTTCAACCTAAAACTCTTCTATAGTATTTGCTGTACTCATTTAAATTTATTTTTCACAAATAACTAAAAGAATGGTCAATTTTGTCATAAATGAATTAATATATATATTTGTATATTTTATTTTAGTGACAGCAGACCCTATGCAGGAAATGGTCAGTTTAATAAAGAAAGGTGTCAAATTACGTCCAATGAAAGAACGTCAAACAGAAGATTCCCAGAAACCTGACCAAGGGAGACAACAACTACAGACACCATCAGAAGACCACATGAAATTATTAGTTGAAAGTTTGAACAGAATAAATGTGTTCACCCGTGAAAGTTCTCCTGATAGTGACAGTGATGATGGTGAATTTGATGACTAAATTTTAGCGTGTATTATGATAAATTCGATTTCGTAAGTTTATTAATTTATTGTGAAGCAGCAAGGTCCTTTGGCAAACACCAAATTGAAGTAATACTTTTTCTTAAAGTTGTTGGGAGTGCATTTCAAATGTTTATCAAAGAATAAAAGGTGGAAATCTATTGGCAAGATATTTGAAGATTTATGCATTTATTGTATTTGGAGCTATTATCATATAAAAAAATGAAGTTCTCTTTTTAGCTCACCTGTCACAAAGTGACAGGGTGAGCTTTTGTGATCGCTTTTCGTCCGGCGTCCGTCCGGCGTCCGTCCGTAAACTTTTACTTTAAATGATATCTCCTCATAAACCACTAAGCCAATTTCATCCAAACTTCACAGGAATGTTCCTTTGGTGGTCACCTTTAAAAATTGTTCAAAGAATTTAATTCCATGCAGAACTCTGGTTGCCATGGCAACCGAAAGAAAAAAATTTAAAATATCTTCTTTTAAAAAACCCAAAGAGCTAGAGCTTAGATATTTGGCATGAAACATCTTCTAGTGAGTGTCTACCAAGTTTGTTCAAATTAAAGCCCTGGGGTCAAAATTGGCCCCGCCCCGGGGGTCATTGATTTTCCCTATATGCATATAGTTAAAACTTAAAAAACCTTCTTTTAAAGAACCCAAAGAGCTAAAGCTAAGATGTTTAGCATGAAACATGTTCTAATGAGTGTCTACCAAGTTTGTTCAAATTAAAGCCCTGGGGTCAAAATTGGCCCCGCCCCAGGGGGTCATTGATTTTCCCTATATGCATATAGTAAAAACTTAAAAAATCTTCTTTTAAAGAACTCAAAGAGCTAGAGCTAAGATATTTAGCATGAAACATGTTCTAATGGGTGTCTACCAAGTTTGCACAAAATTAAAGCACTGGGGTCAAAATTGGCCCCGCCACGTAGGTCATTGATTTTCCTTAAATGTGTATAGCAAAAAACCCAAATAGCTAGAGTTTAGATATTAAGCAAGAACATCTTCTAGTGAGTGTCTACAAAGTTTGTTCAAATAAAAGCCCTGGGGTCAAAATTGGCCTCGCCCTGGGGGTCATTTATTTTCCTTATATGTGTATAGCAAAAACTTAAAAATCTTCTTTGAAAAAACCCAAATAGCTAGAGTTAAGATATTAAGCATGAACATCTTATAGTAAGTGTCTACAAATTTTGTTCAAATAAAAGCCCTGGGGTCAAAATTGGCCCCGCCCCGGGGGTCATTGATTTTCCTTATATGTGTATAGCAAAAACTTAAAAAATCTTCTTTGAAAAAACCCAAATAGCTAGAGTTTAGATATTAAGCATGAACATCTTCTAGTGAGTGTCTACAAAGTTTGTTCAAATAAAAGCCCTGGGGTCAAAATTGGCTTCGCCCTGGGGGTCATTGATTTTCCTTATATGTGTATAGCAAAAACTTAAAAATCTTCTTTGAAAAAACCCAAATAGCTAGAGTTTAGATAATAAGTATGAAACATCTTCTAGTAAGTGTCTACAAAGTTTGTTCAAATAAAAGCCCTGGGGTCAAAACTGGCCCCGCCTCAGGGGTGTCATTGTTTTTAACTATATGTGTTTAGTAAAAACTTAAAAAACCTTCTTTTAAAAAAAACCAATGAGCTAAAGCTTAGATATTAGCATAAAACATCTTCTTATGGGTGTCTACCAAGTTTGTTCAAATAAAAGACCTTGGGTTAAAATTGGCCCTGCCGGGGGGGGGGGGGGGGGGGTGGCGGTCATTGTTTTTCATTATATGTCTGTAGTAAAAACTTAACATCATGAAACATCTTCTAATGGGTGTCTTCCAAGTTTGTTCAAATAAAAGCCCTGGGGTTTAAACTGGCCCCGCTCCGGGGGCCTATATACAGGTGAGCGACCACAGGGCCATCATGGCCCTCTTTTTAATATATAATTATCATTTTTTTCAAGTTATCAGATGCTTATTACATAATGCTGTCAAGGGAATAGGAAATCAGTGCTTATATACAATGTACATTAATTATTAAAGCCGTTTGTATTAATTTTTATAAAAACTTTAAAAATTTGAAATGAGTAAATTTGTTGTCATCTGCACAAATTAATTTATTAAACCTAATCTTAGGCACTTACTGTACACATAAATTACCTATAAATCGTCAAAATATGCAGACACTTCTATAACTCTGGTAATATAGGGCTTTGGTGATAAAAAAGTAAATGTTGTCACATTTTGCATTCTATATTTCATGTTTCACATGGAATACAAACATACATTTTTTTTAAACCAAATAAATATTTTTATGTTTGTTTATTTTGAATTTATATAACTTATCTGAGGTGTGCTGTTTTAAACATATTCCAGTGCTTGAGAACGCTTTAACCATCGTCAGTGCTTTCAAAAAAGTGCTTCTTAATTTATAGTTTTCAATATCATTCTGACATATCAGAGAACACAAACTCGGCGTCTAGTTTTAGATAAGGCTGGTATGGAAGGTCGTGTAAAATAGCTTTAAAATAATTTGTTCACAATGCTGGGATGGGTTTTGTTCTCTTGTAAAATTATTTTGTATGTTGTGTATAAGAAAGTTATTGATGAAGTAAATAAGAATATTGTTTAATATTTTAATTAAGAATGGGAGGGAAGAACCATATGAACAAATACTCAACACATTCGGAACTGCCTCGGCTATTATCTATAATAATCTTGGAAACAATACGGATTGAAAGTAGTTCTACCACGTGGTTTCAGATGTAAACAGAAACAGAGATAATGTAAAACAAATGTATATACATGTATTTGACATCCAATGTCTGTTCCGGTACTCTTATGCTTGAAAATATGTCAGACAACAATTTGTAATTTAAATATGCCCACTGATGTTCAATTTTAAACAAATCCGAGTAAATGTCAACAGATTCGTTTTTTTGTACTTTCGCTTTCTTCAGACATAATAATAGATATATAAATAATGTATTGTTTGCTTTTGTAGGCCTACCTATGGATTCACTTATTTCAGGTGGACTTTTACTACATATATTGGAAATAAACTTGTCAACAACTCCCAGCATTAAATTACTATTTGTTTACATGTTTAGTTTCTTAGCGTAGGTTAGACCGAAGTACCGCATCTGTTCTGTGTATTCATACTATTGTGTTCGAGGTCCTTATCGGAAGACTGACGGAAAGGGCCGAGTAGTTGCGATTGATACTCAACATATTACTGATAGTCAAGTATAGCTTCATACCCATTATAGTTACCGTAACATGCATAAGTAACTGATTGTAAAGTATAGATTTATACCCATTATAGTTACAGTGACATACGTAAAGATTGGATTCATGATCACAGTGAGAAATTGTTGTACTAAGGAAATCTGTATTTAATCTTTTTTGCATATTAATGAACTCAGTATTGTCACAAACTGTAATATAAATAATGATCTGTAACCTTCCTTTATAAATCAAACATTTAACTATCATGACTTTAAAAATAATTCATAGCATGGTCACAATTACATTTTATGGTTAATTCCTTACAGTGACTTGTTGTTTATCCTGCTTTTGTTTTAATACAAATGTACCTTTCAATAGTTACAACTTTAGCAGTAAATAATGTCACATATGTAAATAAACAATAGACATCCATCTTGAGACTCAAAAATAATTCATGTAACAAGGATTTAAATTAGTTGTAACAGCTATATTTGTCGGTATACATGTATTAGTCTGTTTGACTATATTTAGTCTACAATAATAAGACAAGCCCTTTTTCAGGTTTTTATGAAACATTGAAAATTAAACAATAGCAAGCTTTTTGTGTATATTTTCAGTTTGCATTTTGATATTTTCTTTGCTAGCTTGTGACTCTAAATATAGTTACAGGGTCATATACATTATTTTGCATTTACACTCATTTTTTTTGTGAAATCAATTTAATATTTATATTTATTTCTGAAATCAATATTGATACCCCATGTCAAAAAGTCATGTACAACTCACAGCTTTGTTTATCCTTTGCTGTTGAATGGCCTCCCTGAAATTATGAAAGTTTGATTTTGATTTTTTTTGTTCTCTACACATAAAAGGAAATAAAGCTTTATTTCTTGAATTCCTTGTTGGTTAATATATAAACACGTTGAAATAACTACAAGGTTTATTAGCCTTTATAGTTTATATGACTTAATGGTTTTTAAGACTGCATACAGTGATTTTATGACTATTTTAGATAAATATGGTTCATTACACTATTAGATTTATTAAGCTACATGGTTTATATGAATTGTGAAATTAATTACATCGTTTGTTACATTTGACTGGCTTATATGACTATATGGAAAAAACCTACATGGTTTATATTGCTATATGGTTTATTGGACCCAGTGGTTTATATGTATGTGTGAAATAACTACATGGTTCTTTAGACTATAGGGTTTATTGGATCCAGTGGTCTATACGATGGTGTGAAATTACTACATTGTTTATATGACTATATGGTTTATTAAACCCAGTGGTTTATATTGGCTGTGTAAAATTACTACATGATTTATATAACTATATGGTTTATTGGACCCAGTTGTTTATATTGGCTGTGTGGATTAAAAGACTATATAGTTTATTGGACCCAGTGGTTAATATGACTAAGTGAAATTACTACATGGTTTATATGACTATAGGGTTTATTGGATCCACTGGTTTATATGACTGTGTGAAAAAACTTCATGACTCATTAGACTACATGGTTTATTGGACCCAGTGGTTTGTATTGCTGTGTGTCTAAAAACTACATGGCTCCATAAGACTGTATTGTTTATTAGACCCAGCGGTTTAAATGACTGTGTGTAATAACTACATGGTTCAGTAGACTATATGGTTTATGGGACCCAATGGTTTATATGGCTGTGTGAAAAAACTACATGGCTCATTAGACTATATAGTTTATTGGACCAGTGGTTTATATAACGGTGTGAAATAACTACATGGTTTATAAGACTATATAGTTTATTGGACCCAATGGTTTATGTGACTGTGTGAAATAACTACATGATTTATATGACTATATGGTTTATTGGACCCTGTAGTTTATATGACTGTGTGAAATATCTACAAGTCATGGATTATATGGTTTTAAATTGTCAATAATTAGACCACATGTATATGGATAGTTTGACAAGATTGTGTAAGACAGAATCTGCTTCTTTAAAGGGTTTGTTCTTAGTGTCAAGGTCATGTTCGTAGATATAATTTTTACACACTTGTCTCACTTGTGTTAATATCAGAATATATGGTTATAAATGAATTTTTTAGCTCACCTGTCACAAAGTGATAGGGTGAGCTTTTGTGATCTTTTCGTCCGGCGTCCGTCCGTCGTCCGTCCGTCCGTAAACTTTTGCTTTAAATGACATCTCCTCATAAACCACTGAGCCAATTTCATCCAAACTTCACAGGAATGTTCCTTTGGTGGTCACCTTTAAAAATTGTTCAAAGAATTTAATTCCATGCAGAACTCTGGTTGCCATGGCAACCAAAAGAAAAAACTTTAAATATCTTCTTTTAAAAAACCATAAGAGCTAGAGCTTAGATATTTGGCATGAAACATCTTCTAGTGAGTGTCTACCAAGTTTGTTCAAAAAAAAGCCCTGGGGTCAAAATTGGCCCCACCCCAGGGGGTCATTGATTTTCCCTATATGCATATAGTAAAAACTTAAAAAATCTTCTTTTAAAGAACCGTAAGAGCTAGAGCTTAGATATTTGGCATGAAACATCTTCTAGTGAATGTCTACCAAGTTTGTTCAAATAAAAGCCCTGGGGTCAAAATTGGCCCCGACCCAGGGGGTCATTGATTTTCCCTATATGCATATAGTAAAAACTTAAAAAATCTTCTTTTAAAGAACCCAAAGAGCTAGAGCTAAGATATTAAGCATGAAACATCTTCTAGTGAGTGTCTACCAAGTTTGTTCAAATTAAAGCCCTGGGGTCAAAATTGGCCCCGCCCCGGGGGTCATTGATTTTCCCTATATGCATATAGTAAAAACTTAAAAAATCTTCTTTTAAAGAACCATAAGAGCTAGAGCTTAGATATATGGCATGAAACATCTTCTAGTGAATGTCTACCAAGTTTGTTCAAATAAAAGCCCTGGGGTCAAAATTGACCCCGCCCCAGGGGGTCATAGATTTTCCCTATATGCATATAGTAAAAACTTAAAAAAATTTCTTTTAAAGAACCCAAAGAGCTAGAGCTAAGATATTAAGCATGAAACATCTTCTAGTGAGTGTCTACCAAGTTTGTTCAAATTAAAGCCCTGGGGTCAAAATTGGCCCCGCCCAGGGGGTCATTGATTTTCCCTTTATGCATATGGTAAAAACTTAAAAAATCTTCTTTTAAAGAACCATAAGAGCTAGAGCTTAGATATTTGGCATGAAACATCTTCTAGTGAATGTCTACCAAGTTTGTTCAAATAAAAGCCCTGGGGTCAAAATGGACCCTGCCCCAGGGGGTCATAGATTTTCCCTATATGCATTTAGTAAAAACTTAAAAAATCTTCTTTTAAAGAACCCAAAGAGCTAGAGCTAAGATATTTAGCATGAAACATATTCTAATGAGTGTCTACCAAGTTTGTTCAAATAAAAGCTCTGGGGTCAAAATTGGCCCCGCCCCAGGGGGTCATTGATTTTCCCTATATGCATATAGTAAAAACTTAAAAATCTTCTTTTAAAGAACTCAAAGAGCTAGAGCTAAGATATTTAGCATGAAACATGTTCTAATGGGTGTCTACCAAGTATGTTCAAATTAAAGCCCTGGGGTCAAAACTGGCACCGCCCGGGGGGGGGGGGGGGGGGGTCATTGATTTTCACTTATGATGTGTATAGCAAAAACTTAAAATCTTCTTTGGAAAAACCCAAATAGCTAGAGTTGAGATATTAAGCATGAAACATCTTTAAGTAAATATCTACAAAGTTTGTTAAAATAAACGCCCGGGGGTCATAACTGGCCCCGCCCCAGGGGTGACATTGTTTTTAACTATATGTGTATAGTAAAAACTTTAAAAATCTTCTTTTAAAAATGCCAATGAGCTAGAACTTAGATGTTTAGCATGAAACATCTTCTTATGGGTGTCTACCAAGTCTGTTCAAATAAACAAATAAAAGCCCTTGGGTAAAAATTGGCCCGGGGGTGGGGGGCCTATATACAGGTGAGCGACCTCAGGGCCATCATGGCCCTCTTGTTTTGTTATGTATGTGATAAGAAGATTGTCTGTGATTTTGTTATTTTGTGAATGCATTTTAGTTATGAATCTTGAAATTTACAGCTAAAATATTTAAGATTTTCTAAGTGATTTGATTTTAAATAAAACTATTAGATTTGGCCAAAATGTTCTTGAAAGGGCATTTTTAGCTATTTTAGCAAATTTTGATTAATATTTAATTGACTGGAAAGAGTAAACGTTCATGAAGGAAACATATTTATTTGTCAAAATGATTTGAATTTACATGTTGTTTAATCAGATGTTGTTGTGCAATGAACTGTGTGTGCTGTAATGTTGTATATTTTATTTATTATTTTCACCAAAATGTTTTAATGTTCTTAAAATTTGTGCTGCTTTGTTAAGGAATGCATACAGCATGTATAAACTCATTTTGTTCAAACATTTTTCTATGTTAATGATTCCATTTACACTAATAAATATAATGAGAATAATTTTTGTTAGTTTCTGTTTATTGTATGATAAATTGCAGCAGAACCAAAGCTGTTTAGTATTGGTAGATGATCTTAATTGTAATCTATCTGCAAGTGCATGCTTAGTGGCATGCCCAAGGGTCCTTAACTGTCGGTGCCTGAAAGGGCAGATGGGCCCTCAGTAAATTTAAACATATACGTAATACAAAGTTTTGAATCCCATCATACATCTTATTTCTATCCAATTATATTGTCCGATTTGCTGCATTAAACTTCGTTTGTTAGGGTGTCTAGATCTATGGTCAAGTGACCTGTTTGATTAAGCTGTTGATTGCTAACATTTCAATGAATATTCACCCAATTCGGAATAATCAGTTTTTATGCCACCGCAGCATCTGCGATGCGGTGGCATATAGCGATTCACCTGTGTGTGTGTGTGTGTTTGTTTGTTTGTGTGTTATATAGATTATATAGTGAACTTAAAAAATCTTCTTGTGAAAAACCACTTGTCCAATTTCAACCAAACTTGGCAGGATTGATCCTTGGGTGAAGGACTTCCAAAGTTGTTCAAAGAATTTCATTCCATGCAGAAATCTGGTTGCCATGGCAACCAAAAGAAATTGTAAGAATAAATTTAAAAAATCTTCTTGTAAAGACCCAAAAAGCCTAGAGCTTAGATATTTTGCATAAGGCATTGTCTGGTAGACCTCTACCAAGATTGTTCAAATTATAGCTTTGGGGTCAAAATTGGCCCCGCCCTGGGGTCATTGATTTTCACTATATGTACATATAGTAAAAACTTAAAATACCTTCTTGTAAAGACCCAAAAGGCCTAGAGCTAAGATATTTTGCATAAGGCATTGTCTGGTAGACCCTTACCAAGATTGTTCAAATTATAGCCCTGGGGTCAAAATTGGCCCCGCCCCGGGGGTCATTGATTTTCACTATACGTACATATAGTAAAAACTTTTAAAATACCTTCTTGTAAAGACTCAAAAGGCCTAGAGCTTAGATATTTTGCATAAGGCATTGTCTGGTAGACCTCTACCCAGATTGTTCAAATTATAGCCCTGGGGACAAAAACGGCCCCGCCCCGGGGGTCATTGGTTTTCCTTATATGTATAGAGTAAAAGCTTATAGTCAAAACTTAAAAAAAAACTTTTTCTAGCAATTGACAAATGCTAGAGGTTAGATATTTTGCATGAACATTGTGAAGTGAATCTCTAGCAAGATTGTTCAAATTATAGCCCTGGGGTCAAAATTGGCCCCGCCCAGGGGTCATTGATTTTCACTATATGTACATATAGTAAAAACTTAAAATATCTTCTTGTAAAGACCCAAAAGGCCTAGAGCTTAGATATTTTGCATAAGGCATTGTCTGGTAGACCTCTACCCAGATTGTTCAAATTATAGCCCTGGGGTCAAAAACGGCCCCGCCCCGGGGGTCATTGGTTTTCCTTATATGTATAGAGTAAAAACTTATAGTAAAAACTTTAAAAAAAATTCTTCTAGCAATTGACAAATGCTAGAGGTTAGATATTTTGCATGAACATTGTGAAGAGAATCTCTAGCAAGATTGTTCAAATTATAGCCCTGGGGTCAAAATTGCCCCTGCCCTGGGGGTCATTGATTTTCAATATATACATATAGTAAAAAATAAAAAAATCTTATTGTCTGAAGGTACAAGGCTTAGAGCTTTAATATTAAATTTTGTTAAATGATATCATCTAAAGGTACTCTTCCAAAGTTGTTCAAATTTTGCCACTAGTGTCAAAATTGCCCTGCCCTGGGGGCCATACGTTTTCCTTAAATGTATATAGTAAAAATGGGAAGAAAGCTACAGCTTAGATATTTGACTTAAAATGTTGTTTGGTGGACCTGTATCAAGATTGTTTTGAATGAAACCCTTGGCCTTGCCCCAAGGGGACAGTGACCTACTTTCTTGTCCTTTGATGTACAGCTATGAAATTTTGACCATGTGCACAGTTTTAGTTGTAAAATTGAACTTTGATATCAGGTGACCTAGATTTTGATGATGTGACCTACTTTCTTGTCCTTTGATGTACAGCTATGAAACCATGTGCACAGATTAAGATGTAAAGTGAACTTTGATATCAGCTGACCTAGATTTTGACAAAGTGTCTTTCTGTGTTGTCCTTTGATGTAGTCGTGAAATTTAAGCTGTGTGAAATATGACCTTCACCACCGAATTCACTAGACTCAAGTGCATTGGTTTATTCCTACTCTGATCTTTTATTGGAATAACAATATATTTAACCACTAATCTGATAATAAGAATTAGATAGGTCAGGGATCTATGCATTATGACAATCTTCAGTTGTAAAGAAACAAAAAAAATCTATTCCTACACCACTATTTAGTGTTGTATTAATGCGGTGGCATAGCATTTTTCTCAAATGCAATCTTGTTTTTCCAAACCATTAAAGGTTTCAAGGTCACTTGTTATATTGGATGATGACAAAGTGAAATTATTCTATTAACATGTAAATGCATTCTTGGGTATCTATTGAAATCACCTTGTTTTCATTTAACTTTCAGCATTTACTTTAAAGGGACATTATGCCCATCCAAATATAAATGGTCAGTAAACAGGTGAAAGTCAAAATAAGTTTACATTTTACCATAAATCCCTTCAATTTTATAATTTACTTCACATGAACGATGAATAACTCGCATAGTCCAAGGAAATTTCTGTAAATATCCATCGGAATTTACCTTTATTGTTCAATTTATAAAAAGAGCGTAGCAGTCTTTTTGTATCTGAGGTAGATTTATATTTTATGGTAAATATTTTCCAGTATCAATTGTTGGTCAATCACCACTATAACAGTCAATCTTTATAAATATATAATAAATTCAGCTCAATTTGACGATAAAAATATGAGCATAATGCCACTTAAGCAGCTATGTTAGCCTTGTGTTGGCTACTCTTTATAATACTGTCTCCAGTTTTTAAGTGAAAACCGTCGTATGGTCATTATAACATTGGTCTCGTCTGTCTGGATGGTGCTTACTTGGTCTAGACACATTTTACTGGTACATTCCATACTAAACATCTAGCCAATAGTCGCCTTGTTAATAGGCATTTGCCCAAGTGTTCGGCTTTTAACAGTTATGGCAATGTCTGACCTCTTCCACATTTCTAGCTAATAAATTTATGATGAAACAAATTGCATTCAACGAATTCACAGACTACAATGCTGTAATGGAGTATATTCATTAACAAATACAAGCAGACGACAGTTTATCAGACTGGATCAATTTATTTCCGTTGAGGCCCAGGTATAACGGCAGACTTGTACACTATAGAGTACAACGAAAGAGCACCTGCACCATTACTGGTAACATAGACGAGAGGACTCCCTGTTGGGCTGCGATCACTGGGTATGATTCTGAGAAAAAAAATAGAAGTCGATTTATATTGCAAAAGAAAAAGGATTATCCATAATAAATGTGCCAAATCAAAATTTGATCACAGAGCTTTACAACTGCAATTGTAACTGTAAAAATGCAATTGAAATAACTAAGTAAAGTTTTATTTATGTAACATATATCAACAAAGTAATATTAAAATGAACAAGCAATTATCATAGTATTGCAAGCAATCCATAAGTCCCCTACCGGATGGAACCCCATCAACATTCTGAAGGGCCATTAGCCATTCACTAATGTTTTTATTATTCTCTATTTTAAGTAAATTTGTTGGAAAAGTTCTTTAAAAGTGATCACAGGAAACAGTTTTGTTGAAAAGACAGACAGACGGACTGAAGGACACTCTAAATTTAATATTTGAAACATCCCTGTTACCAAAATATAACATTTTAAAAAGCAAAATTCTTAAAGAGGAGATAACTCTGGAATTAAAGATGCAATTTCATAAAAATTTTCAGCTCTTTTTGACTAATCACAAATATTGTTATATTTGCCATGTTTTAAGCCTATTTGTTGCCAAGGCAACCAATATTTTTTTAAAATAAGAAGAACAGATAAAACATGCATAATCTCAAGACTGCCATCTACCCATATGTCAAGTTTCATAAAAATATTTCCAGTACTTTTTGAGTTATCACTGGATTCAGTTTATGTGTAAAATTTGCCATATTTTCAGTCTATGTGTTGCCATAGCAACCAGAATTTTCAACATAGGAAGAAAAGAAAAAGATGTGCATAATCTCCAGACTGCCATCTACACATATTACAAGTTTCATAAAACTTCTATTACTTTTTGCGTTAACACTGGATCCAGTTTATGTGTAAAAATTGCCATATTTTCAGTCTATTTGTTGCCATAGCAACCAGAATTTTCAACATAAGAAGAAAAGAAAAAGACGTGCATAATCTCCATACTGCCATCTATCCATATATCAAGTTTCATAAAAATATTTTCAGTACTTTTCAAGTTATCGCGGGATCCAGTTTTGTGGACGGACGGACTGACAGACAGACGGACAGACGGACGGAGGGTAAACCTGAAGTCCCATCCGGTAAACCGATAGGGGACTAATAACACCAGGTATTACAATTACAGTCATTTTTTTTGCTAAACATTTCAGGATTAATGAAGCACTGTGCTCTGTTTCCTTTTATGTGTTTGTTGCCCTACCATATAACAGTTCGGGTAAAAAATCACCAATGCGGCAGGGGCATTATTAAGAAATTTTGACTTTCATTTTTACACCCTCCAAATAATAATAAAAATAATAAAATAACAAACCCAACGTCAGATATGTGCAGGTCACCGATAGTCTGATTCTGGTACAAATCCCTCCATGGAATGTCAGTCACACCGGATCTTACTACACTTTGAAAACTTGGGATTGGCTGACCAGAAGTGACGTTTACAGTGTATGTAAATAAAGTCCCAGTACTCCATGTTCCAACAACAAGAAATATTGTCCCATTGTCTTCGGCGATGTCCATACCTGTCACTTTCGCTCCCTAAGTAAACATTTTCTTCATATTGTTATTATATTGGGCATTCATTTCGAAATGGTCAAAAGCATGGAGGGAAGGCCAATAATATTTCGATAATTTTTGCAATTTAAGTTTGTAATAGAATGAACAGTTCATGGCTATTGTAAAATTGTACCTATAGAGTTTTTGACAATTTAAGAAATACGACTATAAAATAATTAAAGAAAGACTTAAAAACATGCTTCACTTGGCCTCAGTCATTTGCATACAATGTGCATTTTTGTTAATTTAATTGAGATCTTTGTTAAATTGTATCAGTTATTGTTTATAGAATGATGAACTACCTGCTGATTTGATACAACATCTCTGTGCTGCTCAGGTGACAGGTAATTTGAATTAGCAATGTAGTCGGTGTTAAAAACATATCTGTCAAAGGCCTCCATATATTCCTCAAGATGCCCTTCGCTGTCATATACTGGGCTAACGAGATTACTTGAATCCCATATAGAGAACCCTCGGCCACCAAATGCCTCTAGATGCAAGTACTTTTCATTAAATGTATCCTTTCCATCAACTGTACTGACTTGAAGCCGGCCTGTATATTACGATAAGATATTTCAATTTCAACAATAAAAATAATATTTTTCTCTCCCGCCTTGTAGATATGGATGTCAACTGACTTCCAGTGTACCGTCTGGAGAACCCCATAAATAGAACACTGTGTCACAAAAACATTTTTAGATTCAAATACACCTAAACCACATCTAATTGCCCCTTAAAACAGACCTTGCTTTTCATATTTTAACCACAGCTAACACTCCCCTTTGAACTATATCATACTTTCGCCTTAAACCATATCTTACGTTCCCCCTAAAAACATAGTTTTGGCCCTGAGTTATGCATAGTTTTTGCCCCGAAACAATACCTAATTTTGCCCCTTGACCATACCTTGCTTTCCCCCTTAACTATACTTAACTCTTCCTCCTGCACCATACCTAGTTTCCCCACCCATATACCATACCTAACTTTCTCCTAAATCATACCTATCTTTCCATCTAAAAAATGAATAACAAGCAGCGTTCAAAGAACTTAGCCCTCGTCCCAATCCAGTCACACCAGTAGGGCACCCAGAAGGCACCGAACTAAAATTGGGAGAAGACAATAGGGCGGTGAAAGGTGGGGGATATGTAATAAGTAATGTGATAAGACCTAAAAGGGGCCAGTACGGGAATTAAAGGGACAAGGGGTGTAAGGGGAAAATGAGTGGTATGGGGATGGGTGTGGTAAGGCACAAAACGGGATAAGAGAGGTAATTGGAAGAATATACTCGCCGTTAACGACAATATAACAAGATAGGACATCAAAAAAAGAACATTCAAAACATGCGGTATGTCTTAAAACATTTGGGTCATAGCCTCTTTTAATAAAACGTTTGATAATTTTAGTGAACATCCCCTGAACCGTATCTAACTTTCTCCTTGAACCAGTTCTTACTTCCCCCTAAATCATACCGAGCTTTTCACTCTAAACCATACCTATTTCCCCCCTCTAAATCATACATAACTTTCCCCCCTAAACCATACCTAGCTTTTCATCATCGTTGGTGTTAGCTTTCAGTTCAGCAGGTTCAACTGTACCAGCTGTAAGAGAGAAATCTGAATTTATGTTTGTTCTTAACAGAACATCTTGATCATAACGTTGATCTTGTTACAAATTTGTATGTTTACATTTGACTGAGACTCTCACGTGACTGCTAATTTTGGAAATTTATCTATTTTAAATATGAAATCAGACCTATTCAATGTTGAGCACATTTGCAGTATATGAATTCAACCTTTTCAATGTAATGTTATTTAAAATGTCATTATTTTATAGAATTGTTCTCTGAATGCCAATTCTCAGAGTAAATAACACGAAAAATATAATTTTGTTAAATATAAGGAAGAAACTTGTATCCGAACTTGTAAATAAGAAAACAATTGTGTAACTATTAAATATATTATAATGAACCTTGAGATCTTGCTGTGGCCACATCGGTCCAAGTAAATCCATGTTTAGCACTTGTATAACTTTTAATAGCACCTTCATCTGCAGTGAAAATGAATTTCTTTCTTCCTGTCTCCCATAGTTTTACAACTCCAGGCTGACGTAAAGACTTCAGTCCAGGATATAGTCTGCGATGGACACCTGCAGACACAATAATGTGTACAATTGAAAATCATGATAAAACATATTCAATTTTACGCCGCGTTATGATTTTATGCCGTGATGTAATTGTATGCCCTGTTATAATTGATACTAGTATATCATAATTGATCTGAGCTTATTAATTTTCGGAAGGTTATTCGTTAGTTTTCGTAATTTTTTATGATTTGCGCTTACCATTTTAATGATACAAAAATAGATCTCGATATTTTAATCAACAAATACTGCTCGATGGCCTAGTGGTAAAAATAACGAAATTATGACCACGTATAGTTGCAAGTTCGAATCTAGGACTAACCTTTTTGTAGTTTTCACAATCTGATTTTTTATTTCTGTTGACTATACGAAACACGAGTTGCTAAAATGTGCGTTTCATTTCTAGCATTTTTTTTATTCAATTTCATCATTTTGATAAATACATGTTTTTCATTTCATTAAGTTCAATATGTGAAGTCGTATTACGAGTGACTCGCATGCATAAATCATAGTGGTAGTGGTCAAGTTTTGCAAACTATAATAAAAATCACACACGAAAACATAAAAAAATACATGTAATTTGAATCGAACCTACAACTAACTGAGTCTTACTTCAGTGTTGTTATATTTTTCTGGTCCTTCGGGATCATTGATGCCAGCACTATAAAGTGTTGAGAATTGAGTACCGCTCAAACCGGTGCTAGGGGCGTGAGGGATGTTGCACGTATTCATTATCCCTCATGTACAGACTCAATCAAACCGAATCTGCAATTCTCTTGTATTTTTGTTGTGATTAATGCTTCCGAGGGATCACTTTGTTTCCGGATTTTTATACTTCACAACAGCAGGTGTCAAGTGCTGTGTGGTAGCTGTAAAAAGTTGCCCCGTACTTCACTTCAGTGTTGTTATATTTTTCTGGTCCTTCGGGATCATTGATGCCAGCACTATTAAGTGTTGAGAATTGAGTACCGCTCAAACCGGCGCTAGGGGGCGTGAGGGATGTTGCACGTATTCATTATCCCTCATGTACAGACTCAATCAAACCGAGTCTGCAATTCTCTTGTAATTATGTTGTGATTAATGCTTCCGAGGGATCACTTTGTTTTCGGATTTTTACACCTTGTCAGGTACGTTATATAATAACCGGTGTATCATACGTTAAATCCGTATGGTTTACTTCGGAATCCGATAATTACCGACAAAAGGTTGTTTAATATTCAAATGTCTGAGGTCAATATTGCCTAACAATAGTAATCAGTCAAATATTTTACCGGCGAAAGTTATACCATGTATACATGCATGTATATATGTAAACAACCGTTTTAAAGGGCCATATAAACTGTCCTTATCTTTATACATGTACATGTAAGTCATAGAACATAATAGATATGCCAAAACGTTACATTGGATATATGATAAGGGCACTTCATTTATACAAGCAAAAAAACAAACACACAAAAAACAACACAACTAGAGCCATGTCAACATGGCCATCCCCCGCCGAATGGGTTTGCTCATTGGAAAAATGTTTATGTAGTAGAGCAGAATAATTAGATTTTAAGAGGTCTTGTGGTAATGAAAACTAATGGCTGAAGTGATTACATATTTGAAACCTATGTGAATACTGATGGCTGAAAATAACAAAGGGTAATAACTGAAAAATAATGCAGGGTAGGTTATCATTCTTGTGTGCTGCACCCCTCCTCAGTAAAATCTATCCACCTATGAAGTTTCAAGTTGATACCTCAAATACTTTTTGAGATAAGCTTTGGACTAAATAGTATGAAAAAGAACAAAGGGCAATAACTCAAAAATTGTATAGGGAAGAATTTTCATTCTTGTGCACAGCATTCCTCCTCACTAAGATCTATCCACCTATGACATTTCATGTGGACATCTCAAACACTTTTGAGTTATGCTCCACTCAGGTGAAAAATTAAGTATGAAAAATAACAAAGGGCAATAACTCAAAAATTATGAAAGGCACAGTTATTATTCTTGTGCACTGCACACCTCCTGGGTAAGATCTATGCACCTTTGAAGTTTCATGTTGATATCTCAAAGGCTTATGAGTTATGCTCTGGACAAAAATTAATTTTGAAAAATAACAAAGGGCAATAACTCAAAAATCATGCAGGGTAGAGTTATCATTCTTGTGTACTGCACTCCTCCTCACTGAGATCCATCCACCTTTGAAGTTTCAAGTTGATACCTCAAATACTTTTTGAGATATGCTCCGGACAAAAATGTCGGACGGACGGACGGACGGACTCACAAAATGGTACTTATGTGACTTTTCCTTTGATCTTTTTTGGCCATTTTTAGTCACACAAGACTTAAAGAAAGACACACAAGTAAAAACGGAATGAATAGGATCAAAGAGAATTTACTGTTACCCATTGTTCTCCAAATCACACAAGTACCTCTGGGTTCGTACGGAAGGACGGACGGACGGAGACTATTTCTATATCCCAGCCGCCTTTTCGGCGGGGGATAAAAAACAATCGAACAACAACAACAAAACATTAAGAAAGAAAAGAAGTTAACTGAGACAAATAAGCTAAAATAAATAATGAAGTGTAATAAACTTAAGCAACATAATTGTGCTCAAATATTTTA